TTCCCTTAACCCACCGCTGTACTATGCTGTAGACGCCAAACTTCAAACGTTGTTTTTTGTTTGCTTATGGAAAAATAATAGCAAAGTAGACCGGCTGTTTATGACTGTAGCAAACAATTATTCTAAGGTCACGCTGTCTGAGAGCCACAAAGCTCATACGCTCCTTACAAATCTGCACAAAGGTCGTTCCTGGTGCGGCTAGAAGCACAGTCGACGTTCTTTGACGTGATGCGTTTGGACTGGCAAAGGAGACTGCGGCATGAGCCGAGGCCCTCTCGATCCAAGCTAAGATGACGCGCGTGACACACTGCTGCTGTGTTGACGCTCATCTGCGTTACCAGTTAGCGAAGCATGCTTTCAGCCTTTGTCGCGAGCTTAAGCTGCATTCAGCTGCGGCTGAGCTGGAGAGCAGGGTCATAGGAAGAGGATCAAGGTTTGATGACTTCCGGGATATGTCGCCTCGCGTTGTGCCTCGCATGCTGATAAATAAACTGTGGACAATATTGTCCCCCTTGGCAAATAGCAGCAGGGCGGTTGACACTTTGGACCTTTGGTAACGCTAACCGTGGGTGCCTCCGTAGGTTTTGTATGCGCATCTTCTTCACGACCGGCAATAAGAATTTTACGAGCTTGATATTGTTACACGAGCCTGTTACGAGCTTGCTTGATAAGAATGTCATGAGTTTGTTCGATGAACACGTGCTCATTCGGTCGGCCCGGAGGTGTACCTGCCAAGTGGTGAACGCCTTCGGCACGCACGTCGTGGCGTGGGTTCGAATCCTGGAAGCACCATGGCCCGTGGGAATTGATGTAGTCCTTGTAGTCACTGGTGCTCCACAAAAAGAATGTGCGACGACGTACGCCGCGCTCCCTTTTGGAGGGAAAAGCCTGGTCGCCCGCTATTTGCATCATATGCAAGATTCAGACAAAAGTCAGGAAAGCCTCGCTCCACAGACCTACTCTAACCCCAAAGCAGGATTTCTCCACGGATTGCGGCTACTTGAATTTACTTTCAGGATGTCACGGATTATTTGTTAGTCCACTTACAAAAGGCTGCTTTACGGAGGGGTGACATCTAACTGTAAGCTCATGACAAGCTCAGCTTTGTAAAAACTCAATAATTTGGTACCATTTACAGGGAAAGATTTCCGTGATCCGGCGTGATCATCGGAAATGGATGACAAGCAACGATGAAGTTCCATAGATGATGGCGTGGCCTAACACGCGCAAACTAGAGAACGGCGTCCTTTTCCGCCGAGAGCTCGCAGAAGTGCATCACGTGTACTGCCAGGCCTGTACTTAACCACGTAACGTGGAGCTAAGTGTGCACGACCACAACGCTTACATCCATATCGATAACTGGGAAGATAGAGTATGTAAAATCTGGTGACCGGATGGGTCACCAGACTTTTCGATTATCAACTTTTAGCCTCGCCCTTTTAGTTTCAACCTTCTAGCTTTCGAAATGGTGCTGGCTATGCGGCGTTATGAAGTTAGTTATGGTTATCTTGTGAAAATTCGACGTCCTTTAACTGCTCTCAAAGCGTCCTTTGAAAAACAATAAACACCACGTCAATATTTTTTCATTCTTGATCACACTACGCAAATTTTTTTGGTCCCACCGCTTAACATCTTTTTGCGATGAATGAGGTGGAGGAGATAAAGTCCAACTGTACTTTGCACCCCTGGCCACCATTATCATAGGTGACACTGTACTGCCGAGCGGTTTCAGCGGCATTAGGACAGCGTGGACTGGCGATGCTAGCCTGAAGTCTGTGCCACCTCGGTGGCCACCACCAACTCCCTAGAGACCTCTGCGTATCCAGCTGGGACTAGCGTTCGCCACACATGTGCCGATCGGCTGAAACGAAAATGGGCATGGAAGAACGTGGCATATAAAGTCTCCCACAACTTTTCCCCAGAGATATTGCATGAAGGCAAAATGAAAGGTAGCGTTTGTTACCGGTTTTATGCATACTATGGAAGCGCACGCTTTAGGAGAGCGTACATGACACTAGGTGAAACCATAGTAGGTTGATGCGAGACAATGGAGCGATGCAACAAGTACCATCCGTCAAGAAGAAATTCTGGAACCTCATCAAATACCAGCCTTCAATGGGCCTTCTAGAAAAGGCAAAAGACCGCACGGATCTCAGAATGTAAGAATTGTTGCACAGCCGTAATCTTCCCTCGAGGCTGAATATCCAAAAATCGTCTTAGGGCTTTGACACTTATATGGTTAGCTTTTGAGCAGCCTGATCGCCGGGGTTTTCAAGTTTAGCCACCTGTGTATCTGGCAGCTTTCATCGCAGTAACTTGAATTTCATAAAGTGGTTGGAATGTCGAAAACATGTAATGCACCTACAGCATACTACGCGGTACAAAATAAACCAGAACGTTATCGTGATGCCTTCATGCATCAGCAATTCGGAGGAACTTTTTGGATTTCCTTGGTCCAGCATTACTGCTTTGCCCGTATTCTTAGAAGAGGGGAGCTTGGTGGCTCATAGGTCGGAAAATTGTGGGAAGATTCAAGTCGGCACTGGGGGAGTGTCTTATCTTTCCCTTAGAGACTTCCGTGCTAACAATACAATCCTATTTCCTGCAGAAGATGGGCAAATGTCGCCTCTTCCAGCAGGTTTTTGCTTTCCGCTGATAAATCATTCACTGCAATGCCACCAACATTTCGTGACTTTTCATGAGATAAATATGCACGATCTCCCTACAAATTTCATAGTAATAGCTCACGCAGAGACGGTTGTATGCGTTCATTTTTGGCAGCCAATCTGCTTTGTGAGCAGGATAGTAAACACTGGACTGTATGATACACTTCCGCTACATTTTGGGGTAGGGTTCATTCATGTAGCCGAATACATAAACTACTCACATATCCGGGCAGAGGTGGGCTCATGTGCTGAAAAATGGGAGGGGGAGGGAGAACACTGGCGCGCTACTTGCACTTGTTTTTATTACATGTGCCACCAGCGTCCATGTAATTGTTTCTATGATGCGCGTGTTGCATCAGACTCCAAATCAGATTATCTATCAGAGGCGCCTCCAGGGCTTCGTCTTTCTGGGCCGGCTGCGTTGCATGGGGCTTAATGGAATTGAGGGTGTGTAATATACTTTTATTGTATATAGGGTGGAACAAAGATAGTCAATCTACTTATGCAGGTGTATATCATTACGGTTGACATGCATTGTAACATTTCGCAGTGGCGCTCTCAGGCGATACAGATTGGAATGGCAAGTGATAGGTTAACCAATAAAAACGGCACTATAGTGCTGCCCCATCATATACCCTGATTTTTATGACTACGTGCGATATTTTTATCATCACTATACATGACATGTGTGCGCAAAGCACATGTCTGACGTTTAAGCCACTCAAAATAGCTCAGATACCATACATTTATTAGTTAGAAAAATTACCTGCTTCTCCTTGCCGTGGATCGCTGATGACGTTCATTTCTATTTTCAACTTTGTATATATGAAAACCGTGTACTCCATACTAAACTGCATGTGTCCAATGAGGATTGATTACTAAACACGGCCTCAGCGACCCTCCAAATTAATGTCTAAAATCTGGGAGCTGTTCCACAGACCGTCTGTTTTGGCTTAAAAAGTATTCAGTATTCATAATTAAAGACTTTGTTGAGACAGATCGCGTGGGACTTTTACTCTGTAATTTGGGCATGCAGTCCTCGATATCCTCCGGGAGGGGGGGGGGGGGGGTGGCGGGAAGTCAATGCAGATCTCACAGCCGGTGGAAATGAGGAAAAATGGGCCAGTTCCTGTCATATGCCGCGAGCATCGGCTGAAATAATTGATTTTTATCCCTTTCCCCCCTTCTTGGCAACTGACTAACTCAGGGAAGACTACTATACAGATTGCGTAAGTTGTTCAGTGCATTAGCGAGGAAAATTATTCACATAGATAAGACAGTAGTATTAGCTTTATGCCTCGGAAAAACAGTAGAATAGGGACATAGTTTGGCTGATATTTCGGCAACATGCCCGTGTCGAACAATAGCAGAAGTGGACCGCAACGACTTCTGCTATTGTTTCGATAAAGGCATGTTGCCGAAACATCAACCCAACTATATCTCCATTCTCCCGGCTTTTCTCCGAGGAATATGGCTAATACTATGGTCGTGCCATCCAGATTGGGCTGGTAAGGGCTTCTGAGGGCTATCAGCTACTGAGCCCAGCGTAGGAGAGGGCACTTTTCAGTGCATGAAAATATGTACGTGGAAGAAAAATATTGAATGGGCTGCAACAAGAAGCTTTTGCGCTCAGCATATTTATGAAAAAAATCATAATCATCTAAGGTTTACCTTATCATGCTGATGCACTGTGGTCTGAAATCCGAGGAGAAGGGGCGAGTATGACCGAGCTGCGGGCACCTTCAGTCCCCACGTGGGGCAGGGCGAGGGGGAGGGGCGGGTTTGAACCTCGGTTGCGCCATGACCCATGAACGCTGATATCGCCTCCGCAGTTGCTGGCGCTCCATGTGCTGGCACGCGGCAACGTGCATCGCGTTTCCTTAAGAAATGATATCTGAGGAATGCTCTCTCAGTGCCTGGAAAATAGGTGGAGAGTCATCAGTTGTGATGCAGTAAGTGCATGGCATAAAAAGGCCTAATTAATTGCTACGGCAGTCGCGTAAGGTTATTAGAAGCGGGGACTGAATGTAGTGGCCTGTTGCGTCCTCGAACTTTACACCCAGGATAATATTTTGATAACGTGAAGTTCGCTCATACGCGTATCAAAATACCTCACGTTGGAGACGGTATTTCGAAGAGAACCGATAACGATATCGACAATCAACCACTAGGAACAAGCCGAATAAACGTGTCGGCCAAACTCGAAGATAGCGCTGACTAAACAAAGTGCAACCGATGATGACCAGGCGCGGTGTTCCTCACCGTACCGTGTTTGCTCTGGCTATCATCCTATCAGGAGCTCCGGAGGAGACCCGGCCTCGGCCAGTGGCCGTCTCCCTGTCGCTCGGGACGGGGCTCCGTCGTGCTCTCTCCCGCGACGATGGCGACCCTGCTTCCGGCCGTCGTCCTCTGCTGCGCTCTGCTGGCGGGCGCCGACGGGCACCTCCGACTCTCGGAGGAGTTTGGCCACTCCGCGTCCTCGCGCCCGGCTGGCGATCACTTCCGGGCACCGGAGGACGTGGTCGGCTCCTCGCTGCTGACCCTGCTGGCGGACGCGCTGCCGGCATCGCCCGTCTGCGACGACAAGCTGGAGGGAGCGCCGGCCAGCGACGCGGCGCGCGACGTTCGACCCTTCCTGCAGCACGTGTGCCACCGCCAGCGGCAGCTGGAGGCGCTGCTGCAGGCGACGAAGCCGCAGCCGCCGCCGTCGCTGCCGCCGGCGCCGCGAGCCGCCGCCCTGCCGCGCACCTTCGCCCTGGAGCAGGAGGAGGCAGAGGAGGAGGCACTGGAGGAGCTGCCGGAGTGGGCTTACGAGCTGGGCGGCTGGCTGGCGCCCATGCAGAGGGATGTTCCGAGCAAGCTCTGTCGGCAGCACAGCCGGGTGTACCTGGAGCAGCTGAACAAGGCGCAGCCGTGGGCATTCTCAAGTAAGCCGTTCGTCTGGTGTCGAGTCAGGTGACGTCTCGCGCTGGGCGACCCGCGGAGGACGCCTTAAGCGTCGCCAGCACATGCCTTCCCGAGGGATGACCAGCTTTGCAATCAAGGAGTGGAGGGATAAATCTCGTTCTATGGCCAAAGGGTCGATGAATGGAACGTCGTCAGGGGTGATCACTAGAATTATCCGGCTTAGTGATTGGCAGCTTCTTAAGAACAATGAATGATAAATCTTCTTGCACACACTTAAATGCTCGCGTGATGAACACGTTAAAAGCGTACGGTGTGAATTTAAGAAATCACCTAGTAAACTATCTTTGTCATTGCAGGCAAATAGGAGCACGGTTCCATTTAGAATAGCGCAAAATCTACGGGCATTGCAAGCATTGGATAGATGGCGTCGGGGGAAATAATTGCTAATCCAGGACAAATTCTACGTGTATTCCTCACTACTACGAAGGATAGGAGGACTTGCTGACGTTCGGACTGGGAAATTATGTTTTTATTTGTGCTCTTGGCAGGTGGTAGTGCATGAGGGTGGTTTGTGCAGCGAGAAGCATTTCCGTCCAAATTGATATCAGAAAGACAGATCTAGTCTTTTGTCATTGGGAGTTTTGGGCATTCATCGATCTAAAATATACCAGGAGGTACCAACTAAACGATGTTATAGTACAAACACGGGTTTTATCGGTAGCATTTAAAGTTTTGAGCTGTGCTTACGCATGCACGTTTAGCCAGGTATTGAAGGCAGCTAACTCAGCGTAAGAGATCTGGACTCACAATTCCGACAAATTTAAAAGCATGAAACTGGACGTGTTTTCACGCGGTGAACTTCGTTTGCGATGCGTCCAAGAGATGGTTTTCCTTCACCCTAACAGAAAGGAGTGGATCCAGCATTTCGCCAAGAGGGGGAGGGGGCACACAACATTGTGGGCCTTCCTCTAGAATATGGGGCCACCCCCCAAAATCATTGCATTCCGATATTTTAATTTAAATATTTTTGTCTACGCTATTTTTGATACCGGAACCCACCTTACTATTTGCAGCCCCAAGAAAACTAGGCGTGCCACGTACACGAATACATGGAGTTTGACCATTTTCTCCAGATCATGGTGGATCTTGTCATCTTGAGGCTAAGTATTTACAAAATGGCAAAATGCACGACAGCTGGCTGCTGAATCCCATCGAAAACAAGCACGAACTTGATTGACTGTTCAATGTGATCGGCTTATGGCTGATGAATGATGCAGAGTTTTTGCTTGAATGGCTATGAAGGAGTGCAAATTATCCTAGCATTCAGAACGCGTTCAGAACGCGAGGCATAAATGCAATAAGTAGCTCAAATTGAGTAACCAACGGGAATGGCTTGCACGCCGTCAGATGCACGCAAAATTATGCTCGACAACTGCACAAACATTCATTGGCGCACATCTGACTGCTGCTCTGGGACTAAGGCGGCGAAGGAAATTGTCATCCTGTTATCTCGGAATCGCGTACATGAAGTAATTTATGAAGGAATTGTGTACACGACGTAATTCATTTATTAAGCATGAAGTACTTGGGGCCTTCGGCAACAGAACAAGATATCTCCGACTTCATCGGAAGGGCCCAGGACTAATGTGGATGGCCCAGGAGCAATCGAGAGAACCCCGGCTGATTAAGATCTAGGGGCCGGGGCGGCGGTGATATGATGGTTAGGAGTCATCTCTGTTCCTGCCATTCTGTGGCTCGGGAAGATTAAGAGACTGATTAAGAGACCTGCCAGCCTGTGGCTCGGGAAGATTAAGAGACCTGCCGGTCTGTGGCTCGGACCCCGGCCTCGCCACGTCCGCATTCCGCGTGATACTCAATAAAGGCATCCGTCTTGAAATGTCACTGGCATTCGGTGAGATGCATAGCCCCAATTATTATCAACATTCATTCTCCTATCAACAACGTAGGCCTTTCTATGACATGGAAATTCCCAAGACCAATAGGAACGGCAGCTGAGCGATCGAGAATGCCGCGCCAAGCGATCAAAGAGGTTTCCGCCAACATTGTAAGGTCCTCAGAGCAAGCGGGAAGAACCTAATAACAATATGATGGGGCCCGCGAGGGATAGGGAGTGCCCGACAGGCCAACATATAGGGTCCGGCCAGAGCGCGGGCCCCTCTGAGCAAAGGGGAATAGTCCAAGACTAGTGTCCATGCTTTAATGCCCCCTGTGTAGTCAAGAGCGCCCGGGCGGGTTAACAAAGAGGGCACTGACAAGAGTAAAGGGTCCTCCGCAAATGAGCTCAAAGAGAAAGAGTACTAGATCAATAAAGAGGGTGTCTAAGCATCGAGTGCCTCTGTGCGTTACTTTATAAGGCCCCCAGCAAAAGCACAGCGCCCTTTGAGCAAATGGAAAGAACCCGATATCAATATGAAGGGCCCCTAAGCAACCGAGTGAGCCCCGGCATATGGGACCCCGCCAATAGGAAAATAGAGCTTTTGATGCAAACGTAAAAATCCGTGGAGGATCCTTGATCGATTAAGAGTGCCCAGGCTAGTTAGCAGATACCAGGATCCTACTACGGTAGGACCTATGGTAGGAGCCTACATTCCAACAGGAAGTGCCCAAGGCCCAATATGCAGGGCCCCGAACGATGGAGTGCGCCCAAATAGGTTGACAGATGGGGTCCTGTCAAGAGAGTAGGATCCTCAAAAGCCAATAGGAAGTATGCAATACTGAATGTGATGGGCCCCAGGCCAATGGAGAGGGCCCATGAGCATACGGTGAGTGTGTCGGTAGTAACCGAAACCGACGTGAAGGGGCCCTGAGCAGCCTGGAACATCCCGGCAGTTTAACGTATGGGGCCCCAGCTACAGCGTAGAGGGACTTTGAGACAATTGGGAAGAATCCGTGAAAGGTCCCTGATTGAAAAGAGTGCCCCGGCCTGCCAGCCGAAAGGGCCCGACAAAAGTGCATGGCCCTCCGAGCAAATGTAAAGAAATCAAAGGCGACGTGGAAGGCTTCTTAGCAATGGGATTTACCTTGCAAGTGGACATAGAGGACTTCCTGGAACAGCGTATGTTCTCTGGGCAGTGAAATATACCTTAAACCCTCTCAGTCAACCTAGAATACCCCGGGTTTTTACCACCCTCTCAATCAGTGAATGATTATTCTTATCTGCTCGTGGGCCCTTCACTTTTGCTTGTGACTGATCATGGCTGCTCTGAAACCCAAACACGTCCAACCTTGTCGCACTTCGAGTTAAAAAAACTGCGCCTTTTCGGCCGAATTCGGGCTCCGAAGAGGCCCAGGCGGATGGGGCATGGCCCTGTGGCCTCCTTTGGATCTGCCCCTGCTAACAGCACGAAATCTGTTGTGCCGAGTTGTGCATTTATAGAGTTGAAAGCAACTGTCCGGGTGTGCCGTGCACCGTGGTGGTGTCCGGGTGAGTCACAAAGTTTGCACAGCTTATTGAGAATTTCTTTAGAAAGGGAACTTGCGGTAAAGAGATTGAGCCTACCCGAAAAGCAGCTTTGTATTTTATGCATTGGAAATTATTCCCTACAATTCTAGCCAATTTGGTGCGTTTTGTTGTCGCAGAGCTTGTCCTCAAATTATTAGAATTTTGACAAATATCTCGATACATCAAATAGCTCCGAAGTTTATCGGTCCTTCTGCGGTGGAAAGCCTCATGTTTAAGCTACATTTATCGAGCTAGGTGTCCACTGTGTGTACCCATTCTAATGACTCACATCGAGGTAGGTGTTCGCCATGTGTTCCCACTCTGATGACTCGCACGTCGATGTAGGTATTCGCTGTGTGTTCGCATTCTAATGACCCGCACGTCGAGGTAGGTCTTCGCCATGTGTACCCATTCTCATGACTCGCACGTCGACGTAGATGGTCGCTGTGTGTACCCATTCTGGTGACTCGCACGTAGAGGTAGGTGTTCGCTGTGTGTACCCATTCTCATGACTCGCACGTCGAGGTGGGTATTCGCCGTGTGTACCCAACGCTGTGTCCAGCCAGTTGCCTTTCCCACCTCGAGCCCTCACCGAGCTCGCCGTTCCAGTGTTCGATTCATCCGGGAAGTTTCCCGACGGCATCTTCTACGGCAACCTGAACATGCTGGGCAGCTGGGATGAATGCCTGCAGGTCGAAGCCATGCTGAACCAGACCGAATACCCCAACATCACCCAAGCGGCCTTCAAAGGACAGTATTGTATGGCTAACATCATGTGAGTTCGCAGCCAGCGTAGCCGTATATCCAGCGCCAGCAGCCAGCGGTCGATCCATAACTCGTCCTTACGTAATGGCCACCGCTGCGAGCGGGGTCGCAGGCGGGCTAAGAATCAATGGCCAATTGCAGCACCAACGGGCAGGCCTAGCCCAGCCACTCACGCTTTTGGCTTTTGATATCTTTACTATCACTGATCGCATCGTTGTGAAGTTATCGACAACGAGTGGCGAAGTTCTCTCAAAGTTGTGCTCTCATGCTTTCGATGTAATCAAATGTAGTCTATGTTGTTTGGACGGGTTGTTTATACAGCGAAGCAATATCATCACTTTTACCTCCCCACTCCAACAAGGGCCATTCAAAATTGTCAAACCGCGGGAAAGCTAGCGGGCGAAGATCTGAAACACTATAGATCTTCGCCACCAGGTGTCACAATTTGGAACAAGAAGGAGAATGCGTACCATCGCCTTGTCAAATGTGTGGGTCACCATGTGCAGATTTCCAAGTTCCATCTTGTGCAAACCATGAATCTCCTGTTTGTAAGAATGGATGGATCCCTTCTTTTGATCCCTGTTTGTAAGGATGGGCATTACCAGCTCGGCGACCAGAACCTTAGATCATTAGGTGACCTCCGCACTGCCTGGCCGATGGGTGCGTCAGTAACAGACGAGAAATTTGCCACAGTCACCTTTTCCAAAATCAGCCTCAGATACCAAAGAGCGTGGACCAGACCGAGTCAGATAGGGTCATGTAGGGGGCATGGGTGTATGATCCAGTATGTGTGATCAGTAACAACCCAAATATTAACCCGTGCCCAGCCGAGCGAGTGAGTTGACTATCCCCTACGGTTTTTGAGCACAGGTCAAAAACGAATGATTGTAGTGACGCAGAACTTTTAGTACCTCCTCATCCTATCACTTTGGCATTCTTTGTGCAAACTTGAGGCTTTGATCTACCAGGATCAGTGATCTAAGTCAGATCAAAGAAGTCAACCTCTGCAAAAACTGACCACATCTATTTTTTTTGCATGTGGGTCAACATTTTTCAAGCTTGTTAAAATGGTACAGCATGATAGCACCTACAGTTGAGATATTTTAGGTTTTTTTTGACAAATGCGAGGTCAGTGACCTCGCATTTTCAGTTCAATTCAAGGTGTGAGGTGTGAGGTCAATTCAATGTGTGTGTGTGCATTCTAGTGCGGATTTGGTGTTTGCATGTGAGCAAAATGTACTAACGTACATGCACAACCATCATATGACCGCATAGCGCATGGCCTTGGTCCCAGCCATGACCCGCGTCTATGGGTGCCTTTTGCAGAATAAAATAAAAACACATGCTGAGCTGAAAGTAGGCAGTTTCATTGGGTTATTTGGGAAGCAGAGTTCGAATATCTCGCTTAAAACATGCAGTAGGATTTCTACTGAACATGAGGTCATACAAGTTAATGTGAGGTTATTCAAGGTCAATGACCTATGTTGCCAGTAGCGGAGAAGTTAGATGAAGGAGTGCAACACGTGTGACTATCTCCTCATCGTATTAGTAAATTTGATGACGCCTTATTTCATGTACCAACGTATCTGTTCTCAGTTTTTTATTTCTCACACGGCGTCTGAAAGTTGGAGATTCCAGGGAAAAGTCAAATTCCCCTGGCAGAGCGCGGTTGTCTCAGACCCCCGGCCGGGCGCTGGTTAACAATTTTACCATGCTTTATCACCTTCATTAAAAGCATGACATGCTTTAGACTCAATCAATTCGACGATTTAAACTGCTAGGCTTTGGCAATCGAAACGCCTGCCAATTTTTCAGTCACAGATGATTAACGCATACACACTAAACACCAATCCATTCCTGCCTACTCAACTCAGGAGAGGACGATATTTCAGTACATTGCGAATGCTCCCCTTTCCAACTTGCTTAAAGGCGACGAACCCCACTCGCATAGGTTTCAATACCCCGCGCATGGCAATAATGACCACGTGTGCTGGCGCTTGGCTCGCGCCACGCCACAGACAGCGGGCACAGCCGTCTCCGCCGGGCTACTGGCACATGCGGCCTCTCTTGCTCCCAGTCCCAGCAGCGCGCTGCCAACCGACGACACCGGACTGGGACTCGTCCCCGTTCTGCCACTGCCAGCGTTTGCCTCGATCGCCGGCGGTCCCAGCGCGTTTGGTGTCGTCACTGGCCTCCGGTACGGCTACTGCATACCATCGTCATGCTCAGCGCAAGATGTCATGGTAAGCATTATTTTCCAGGGATTTAAAAGCCGGTTGTTTTCCATTATCTCTCGGTGTAGTAATTATGCCACCGAGCTGGATGACTCATGTGCGGTCCTATGTGCTCGCTGAGGCTGCACTCGGCTTTCGCAAAGGCAGTGGGTGGGTTTTCATGGTAAATACACAAATACGCGTGGTGAATAAATAACACTGGGGATCTGGAGCAAACAGTGATGCCAGACATTCTGCTCCTACGACTGAGAGGTTACGGAACGTAGATAATTTCTCCGTAGACATGAAACTAAACATCTTAAACTCTCAGCAAAGAGGTATTGTGCTCTGTAAAGCCACTGTCCAAACGTGCCCTTTGCTGCAGCTATCACTGAACACATGGCTGTACAGTCGAAACAGCACGTCTGACACTCTGTGAAACCACTGTCCAAACGTGCCCTTTGCTGCAGATATCACTGAACACATGGCTATACAGTCGAAACAGCACGTCTGACACTCTGTGAAACCATTGTCCAAACGTGCCCTTTGCTGCAGATATCACTGAACATATGGCTGTACAGTCGAAACAGCACGTCTGACACTCTGTGAAACCACTGTCCAAACGTGCCCTTTGCTGCAGATATCACTGAAAACATGGCTGTACAGTCGAAACAGCACGTCTGACACTCTGTGAATCCACTGTCCAAACGTGCCCTTTGCTTCAGATATCACTGAACACATGGCTGTACAGTCGAAACAGCACGTCTGACACTCTGTGAAACCACTGTCCAAACGTGCCCTTTGCTTCAGATATCACTGAACACGTGGCTGTACAGTCGAAACAGCACGGGCCTGCTTGCCTACGTCGGCGAGGGAAACTGCCACACCAAGGACGAGGGACAAAACTTCGAAACCAACGACATCGTCGTCATGTAAGGCTACGTGGTTCTGCTCGAGCATTCCAACTTGGTGCGTATGCATAGAGCTGTTTATCAGGTTGGTGGGTAGGAATTGGAGATCGCCGGGTGTCCGAATATCTCGGCACACGCAACTGAGGACCTCTGGCAACTAACTACGCGTCCTGGAGGGCCGTGCGGTGGGGAGGGGTGGGGGGTGGGGATGGGGGGGGGGGGGGTAAATCCGACCCTCACACGGAGTATAGCCATGATTTGCGACGGTGCCTGGGATTTGCTTTTGTTCAAATCCCAGTTAAAATCATATTGTATTTCCACTTACAGGCCTCACGGTTAAGCCCACACTTTGCGGAAATGGTGCAGTATCAGAACCAGGAGACTGGATGAAAATGAGATGACAGCATACCAATTAAGAAATTTCACATCCGTCTGTGTATCCAACAACGGAATAATTTCGCAGTGGGCACTATCAAACTGCTGTCTCAGCCGAAAACGTTTCCCAACTTAACCATTTCCGGGACAGCAAAGTTATCCCGGAATGTCCTTTTCAGCCAAGCGATGTAGGAAAAAGACAGCATTGCCTTTTTGCAGTGGGCGTTCGGCCCGCGCACTGACCCACGGTAGTATGGCTTACCCCCTGCGAATGACCCTGCGTGGCAGTGCGCGTGGGGCCATTGTCAGCCCACCGCACTCCGTTGCCCCTGCGTGACAGAGCGCGCGGGGCCATTATTAGCCCACTGCACTCTGCTAAGCCGCACACTCAAATCACGCTTTTGCTGTAATTTTGCGAATCAAGGAAAGAGGCTGGTATGAGGAGAGGTGCCATGCAAATTCAATGGAGACGCCACGCTGTTCTATGCACAAATATTTTGAGCCACTTGTCGCTCAGAATTTTTTCCGATGTACATGCCTCTCAACACACCCGAATATAGCCCTTTGTTGTAATTTTCCCTTCATATATAAGTGTTGGAGTTGCTAAAGAGTTGGGGTGTAAAAATTAAGATTAAAGCGCTTTTCGCCGCGGTTAGGCATGGCTCCGATATTCTCGTCTGAGAGCTTTGAAGGTGTAATATCATACAGCGTGAGACGCGAATGTGTTGCAAAAAGACCAACACAGAGTGAATCGAGATAAGCCTCTCCAAATATCTCATAAACAAGCATGTGTTACGTCATTATTATTATATACTTTTTCAGCTGAATTCTTCCTTCCATAGCATTCACCATGGGACCAGACTTATCCACTGCGGCATGGGGAGGACTATGATCTAACCCATTCTCAGAACGAAGAGATCAATAAAGTCTCACCAACTGCGTTTTCTACAGACAGCTGCATGAGCGCAACCAGGGTACAGCGAAGGGGGAGGATCACTCTCCCTAGGCTTGGATTTGTTTCTTTTTCACTAAAGATGGCTTCAGAAAGAACGTTCAAAATTGCGTGACGCCTTCTCATCGAACTCCGCCGTCCTAAGAAAACCCTGGGTGCACCCTTGTACACGATTGAATACGATCAACACAAGCTATATTGCCCTACTCCAGAACGTTTATAATGCTCGTGAAGTGAGGAGACCGTGGCCAAGATCTATGTCTTAACCGTGCATGCCACGCCTGCCTGCAGTGTCATCATGTCCTTGTTTGGAGTCATCATCGCGCTGTGCACAGCTCTGGACGTCATCGGTATATACGTGAAGCGGATGTCCAGCTCGGCAGATGGGACCATTATCGGCTCGTCCACGGCCTTCCCACCAGGCAAGCATTGGTGGCTGGTGATATGAGGGTTATGTGGCTTGCATGTCGCACTGTCTCTTCAAACCAGGCTGGAAATCACATAAGTCGTCAAGTGCATTTGCAGGAATATGATGCATAACGACACTGGCCGCCCTGTTCCTCGTAGAAGAACCAGGGGAATGGAAAGCTAGATGTATTGACATCCCGGCTACAGGTCTTTATGGAAACGAATATCAGTAGTGTCAAAAATCACTAAGCAAACTTATATGAACGGATATCACTACCAATATTCGTTCCGATGTAGGCATGTAGCTAAAATACCAATGCATCTATTTCTCCGTTCTCCTGGTTGTTGTACGAATAAAAAGGGCTGATAATCCTAATAACTTGGATGCGAAATGCGCCCATAACTTGAGAGTAGTGACGTATTTGCGAAAAACTTTGTGGAACTGCCGTGACCCTGATGACGTCACACAGCGGACTGGCGAATCGTGAACGCTTTCTCACTGCGCTACAACACCAAAAAACTGCTGGGAACGAAGACGGGCTCTGATAACCTTGGCTGCATTCACGGCATGAGGTACGTACGCGTCTGCGTATTGTGCCGCCAGCATAACAATGATCGCATCCGAGCGGTCCACTTACAGCTGGTATTTTTTGGAAGGTGATGGACATCCGGTACGTCTTTCGAGCACGTTAGTGCTCGGGTCAGTGTGTCGATCCGAGAAACCCCGGCACGGCGACATCCAATAAACAGATGAATAGGACGGATGGTAGCAACCCCAGCAGATGCGTGCACGAGCAGATGGTGGTCTGCTTGGTTATGAGGATGACGCTAACATGCTGGCTTAATGCACGGAGAAAATGGTCATAATGCAGTGATATTCACCCTGGGGACCTGTTTTTTTTAAATGAAATGTAAGACTATGGTACCACCTGCTTTTAGCACACATGGCATGTGTAGTGAGGGGACCCAGTGCATGCAACCGGCTATTCGTGATATAAGTTGCATTATTCTGTATCGATCATTTCAGGTTTCTGTCCATGACATGGGTGGTGCTAGGGCACAACTACCTGTTCGCGTTCATGAACGGTGCCTGGACGAATCCTACCTACTTACCAGAGGTGAGTTTGCTGCGTTATCTACGTCCCTGACACTTCACGTACCCTGTACTGATACAGCGATACTAGCGAATCCTGGTAGTCACTCAGCTTTTCTTTGCGAGATATCACAACAACATTGTAAATAGGAGCAACATAGAGATGGCTAGATGAATTGTGGTGCGAATGCGAGCAGTTTTTTTCCGTTTCTCTTTTTTCCCCGTTTCTCCATTGGTCCTAAGAACACAAACTACCTGAGCACTGCTCTCCACGACCTACAATGTCCCATTCTATCAACATTCCACAGAAATGCAGCCGTACATAGGTGCCAGGTGTTGCCGGTCGGTCTCGAACATGGGAGCTAAGGAAAGTGCCGTCACCAACGGCCAACGTTTTTTTATTTTTCATGGCTGCTTTAAATACATTCGGCAGACATACCTTTATGGGAGCCCACCGCGCACGTGTCCCGTGCTGTTACGTAGACATTGTTCTAGAGCGTCTTCAGCAGCCTTCTGCGCCGCAGAGTTAGACCTGGGACACTCCCACACGGACGGAGCTCATGAGAGCCGAGAAGGATGCGCCGCTCCCCTTCCCTGATTTTAAGTGGTGGCTTATAGCAACACCAGCATATCCAAGTATGCAATACACATTACCAAGCTGTGGCTTATGATAGGAATCCAAATAACCGTTTTCACGATGAATTAACGCCACCGAAATCTAAAAGCATGTTTTTGGAACGCTCTTCCAAATGTTGCAATGACCTTAGTATATGCTAGACACTTAAACAAGGAAATGATTGATTTAATGCAGTTTCACTGACGTTTAACAGGCTAAACCACTTTTACCGAGCTCAGAAAAGTGAATTATACGAAATGAGACCGTTGATCGACATTTATTTTCTTATTCGATGCCTTTAGTTCACCGAAGTCCTAGGATAATACCAGGCCTGGCAAAAATGTGGATCGGCCGAAGGCGTTAAACGCTGACCGCGCTGCCATTTACATCGGTTGTCGTGTTGAAGCAAGGCGAGCTTTCGGTGATCACCATGGGTCGTGTTTCCAGATTGAGATCATCGTAGGCCATGTTGAATAATGTATTCCCTAAAGTACTGCGTATCTATGAACGGAGGCGTGGCCAGGATAGAGTGGCGTGTTTTATCGCACCTGCGTCAGATATGCCAAGGAGTCATCAGAGCTGCCCGTACGAGCATGATCTTGTTTATATCCAGCAAGCCACAGATTTATCAACGTGCACGCCTTAAGAAATGATACTGGATACTTGCAAAGTATTTGAAACTAAAAATCGCGCATAAAAGACGCAGTTGTGTCTTTATGAAAATTGCTGAAAACTTTTTAAAAGTTTTGAAAAGGTCTGTACCGTAATCCTACGTGAAAATGGCTAATGATGATGCTACTGTTGTTAGACAATTTGTCAGCTTGTCATCCAGCAATGATTTCAGGCTTTTTTGGTCTTGTCTTGGCGCCGGGCCAGTCCTGTGTCCTTTGGTAGAAAATCTAGTTGCCTAAAAATGAGTTGGGTGGTCCGGCATACTGGTTGCTTAGGGCTCGCATAAGGCAAACAGAACACACGTCTGGGTGGTGGCCGTAGCAGAGCACAATCATGCGTGGGGGGTCAAACCCACCCTGGGGCGGCACCACCAATTTTTGATAGGAGGATAAGGAGTGAGGTCTTTACCCATCGCGACACTTAAATTAAAAAGGAATTGCGCAATGAGCAGGAGGCATACATAAAATTGCAGCATTCACCTGTTTGCGTTCTAAAGCTTTTGGAAGAACAGGTTAGTGGAAGTGGCGATAGGGCGTGATGGCCAGCGGCAGGGAGCGTACAAAAATCAGTCTTACCTGCGGAGTTAAGGACATTACATTGTAGCCCATGCCCTACAATTCAATCTTTGTTTTTGCTTTTAAAAAAGTATAGTATCCACACGCAGTGGGCACGCGATTATCTTAACAGCTCCTGAACTGGCTTTGATATCTAGGCACGGAGTGCGTTCGACCAGTATAGGGGAATGTCACCCAGCGGTATTTTGGAATTCTAGTGAAATCACACTAGCTTTGTAACAATGTGGTCCTACCGATTCGATGCACCTTATCGTTATATTAGTGAAAATATATGAGGAGCAAATAGTTCTCTGCAAGACTGTTGTTAGGATAGAGGACTGTCCCTTGTCCGACGATGGAGAGGGAAGATAGAGGGGAACTTCACCCCCCCCCCCACGCCTCCCTCCGGTGGTACCGCCCCTGCCGACACTTAGGCTTCTTCCGCTCTTCCTCGCCCTGATGTTCCCTTCATTTCTCCTCTCCTTCTGACCTCTTCTTCTTGTTCCGGCCTTTTATATTTTTCCTGTAACCCATGCACCTCGTCTTTTCTCCTTGCATAGTCTTCTTGTTTGCTGAGATTGGGTAAAAGCTTTGTAGAGTATTTTGCAATTACTCTTGCACAAACGTTGCCCTTATTTATGGTTATGGTTTCACTCCTTTCATAGACGTTTTAACTTCGTTGGCCTTGTATTTCATTTTTGCGTGCCACCTCTTTTTTCCACCTGTTCTTAGTTTAGACGAACAGCTTGTACATGGTGTTGTAAACAATACATTTGCATGCGGATAGTGATGACCTATTTATGCCTTATTTCTAACTGCTCGCGTGGTAGTTAGACCAATGACGTCCTTATTCGTGCAAGTCCTTCTCGCGAGTCGGAAAAATACAAATCTGGTCAGTCTACAGCTTCTTTTTCTAACTTACACTCGCCAAGAATCACTCCACATAACAATGTTCAGGTGCGCAAGTACAACCAACAGCCGCCTTGTGTCTTCGGGTCTACTAGCAAATGAACATGCCTTGTAACCTGCGTGCGTTGTTTTTTAAGGCGTCCCAGACCGCCGGTCACTTGAGCCGACGGTTCCCCTTCCATACTACATTGCAACAAACGGCTCCCCTTACATACTACATTGCAACAAACAGCTCCCTTACATACTACATTGCAAAAAACGGTTCCCCTTACATACCACATTGCAACAAACGCCTCCCTTCCATACTACATTGCAACAAACGGCTCCCTTACATACTACATTGCAAAAAACGGTTCCCCTTACATACCACATTGCAACAAACGCCTCCCTTCCATACTACATTGCAACAAACGGTTCCTCTTACATACTTCATTGCAACAAACGGCCCCCTTACATACTACATTGCAACAAACGGCCCCCTTACATACTACATTGCAACAAACGGCTCCCTTACATACTACATTGCAACAAACGACTTCCCTTCCATACTACATTGCAACAAACGGCCCCTTCCTACTACATGCAACAAACCGGTTCCTCTTACATACTTTATTGCAACAAACGGCCCCCCTTACATACTACATTGCAACAAACGGCTCCCTTCCATACTACATTGCAACAAACGGCTCCTCTTACATACTTCATTGCAACAAACGGCCCCCTTACATACTACATTGCAACAAAGCGGTTCCTCTTCCATACTGCATTGCAACAAACGGCTCCCTTACATACCACATTGCAACAAACGGCTCGTCTTACATACTCATTGCAACAAACGGCCCCCTTACACACCACATTGCAACAAACGGTTCCTCTTACATACTTCATTGCAACAAACGGCCCCCTTACATACTACATTGCAACAAACGGCTCCTCTTACATACTTCATTGCAACAAACGGCCCCCTTACATACTACATTGCGACAAACGGCTCCTCTTACATACTTCATTGCAACAAACGGCCCCCTTACATACTACATTGCAACAAACGGCTCCTCTTACACTACTTCATTGCAGCAAACGGTCCCCTTACACACTACATTGTAACAAACGGCTCCCCGACATACTATCCCAGCCGAAAACGAGTCGTAGTCGCGTGCTAGTGAAAAGGCGTTTCTTGTCACCGAAGAACTTAAGAACAGTCCAAATTGTCGCCTGGAGCCAACCCATCAGAGACCGCTGCAACAGAACTCTATGTGCGATAAACTGCGAAAACAAAGATAGGTGAAATGCAATACGGCATAACTATCAAACAGTTTCGTTTCGGGGTTTCGGTTGCATTCAAGCATCATCTGCTGGGCCAGAAGTCCCGGTGATTGGGACACAGGTCTCAGTGCACGAGTGGCCGGAGCAGCGGCTTAAGGCAGATGAGTACGTTGATTTTGCAAGGTTTAGTCCATTCACAAAATATCACTTTCTACCATTTTGGTATCATATTGCACACTCTTTTTTAAGTTAAAAACTACGTTATCTTAGGTTGAAAATTGTTGTGCTGTGACGAAACACACCTATGAATTGCTTCTTTAGTTCTGTTATGTGAAAAACAGCGTCGCAGTTTTCCGCAGTTCCTAAAATGTAAATTTCTTACCCTTAATCCGCGCAGTGGGGAATATTTACTCCCCATTCCAAAACCATCTGTCAGAAATCCAACAACGGATAAACTATTTCATCCTCTGGGCTACATGGATAGCTTGTCAATGTTGACGTATCGAGCTGTGCCTGTGTTGACGTATCGATGTCTGAGAAGCTTAGCTCTTCAAGCCAGCCACCTTCTCACGACATGAAAGCGACCAATGGCAGCATACAGCCTTGCGCTTAACTTAATCCATTACCAGGTGGCGAGCATTCGAGCCCGTCTGCCTCACAGGGCACGCCGTTTTAAAACGACGCTAGCAGCCTGACCAAGTTCGTCGCAATATACTGTGGCCAGTCACGATTCTTACGACCAGCAATAAGCCTAATTATGTTGTATTTTATAACGTCTAGCATGTGAAGTGAGTCTTGCCGGGAAAACCTGTGAAAACCACTGATATGAAGGGCATTGTGAAAAACACTGCTTCACCAATGATCTGTGACGACAACACTGATACAGTATACTTGTAAGTATATTTCTTAAAACTATCCTAAATCTTTCCTGATTACCTAAAAACTATCCTGATTAAAACTTTTGTTTAACACCATTTTGTGACTGAGCTTGTTCACATAGTGAAACGTCAACGTTTCGACACGTGCTCTACGCAATCTCACGCTGTGCGCGTTCGCGAGCGCAGACCAATACTAAGCTTTGAGTTTCGTCTAAGTAGAATGTTCTGCTGTAATGTGATTTGGTCTGTTGTAATTTGTTTAAATCTTTGCAATTTTGTCACCATTTGGCCGGCAAGAGTGTTCATTTTTTATCTACCATATCCGGTAAATTGAGAGCTTGTTTCGCCCCTTGATGTGATTATTAACCAATGGGAAGCGAGCGTAAAATTGTATGATGGTCGGCTAAACCAATCATGGAGTGTGCGCTCGCCTTGCGGTCGCGAAACTATCTGATGCAACAGGTGGCCGGTGAGGCGCTGACAACTTTTTGGTGAGGCACTAAGGGCTGGTGAGGCGCTTTTTTAAAGGAAGTATTGAATCACATTACGGATGGTCTGCATAGCTTCTGTTGCGATGAAGCAGACAGTGTGTGATGAGTAATTTGTTTGCCAGAGGCCTGGGCTTGAACGAAGACGAGTCTAGTAGTTCCACATAACCCACCCGGCGGCGGATGGCAGATGCAATAACGCGCCACCCGACACGGCGATTCGCTCGGCCGGCGGGTCCAGCGAATACAGCGCAGAGGTTATGTGTGGCTGATGGATGGCAGCCAGTAAAAAATCACGAAGTGGACTGTTTGATCACGAAAAGTCGATTTTGCCATATGCATTTTTTCCACCATTACTACATGTATTTAAGAATATGGTATAACCGTCCTCCACTGGTCTTGCTGGGGTCTTTTCTTTTGTATGTGACGTCAGTGACCGGCATTGCACCACGGGCAGATTTTAAAAGCGCCGGCGTTGGAGGTGGTGGCGAACGGCTTGCTGTCCGTGGACACCTTTTTCTGCTTGGGCGGCATCATGGTCGCTTATGCCTTTATGAAGATGGTGACCTCCAACCGCGGCAAAGTACGCTGGCATGACATACCCATGATGTACCTACATCGGTATCTGAGGTACGTGGTCTGGTGAAGCTTCAGGAGCTGTGGGAGAGAGAGAGAGAGAGAGAGAGAGAGAGAGAGAGAGAGAGAGAGAGAGAGAGAGAGAGAGAGAGAGAGAGAGAGAGAGAGAGAGAGAGAGAGAGAGAGAGAGAGAGAGACGAGAGAAGAGAGAAGAGAGAGAAGAGAATGAAAGGAGGAGAAGAGAGGAGAAGCGAAGAAGGGGAGAAGGAGGGGAGAGAGGGAAAGGAGAGGAGGGAGAGAGAGGAGAGAGAGAGGGAGAGGGGAGGGAGAGGAAGAGAAAGAGAGAGGGATAGAGAGAGGAAGAGGAAGAGAGAGGAGGAGAGGGGGGGTGGGAGAGGGAGAGGGAGAGAGAGGGGGAGAGGGTGTGGGAGAGGGAGAGGGAGAGGGAGAGGGAGAGGGAGAGGGAGAGGGAGAGGGAGAGGAGAGGGAGAGAGAGAGGGAGAGGGAGAGGGAGAGGGAGAGGGAGAGGGAGAGGGAGAGAGAGCGAGTGCGTGGGCATAGGTGTGGGAGATAACGAATTCCGTCGATTTCCAGACTGACTCCTGTGTACGCCATTACCGTGGCACTCACTGCCACCCTGGCGCGACGAATCGGAACCGGACCCGGTCTGGCCAGTGCGCTAAACACACAAGCAAAGGTGTGCCAGGACAGTTGGTGGAAAAATCTCTTATACATCAATAACTTCACCGACATCTTTAGCTTGGTGAGTAGCTCGATCAGACTCATTCCGAATTGAAACGCCATTAGAATCATGTGCGGTCGCATTGCGGTTTTTCTCAACATGGCGCAGACGTCTTACAGTGCATCCTCGCTGAAGCAGACCGCTGCTGATCCCCAGGCGCCGACGACGTATATCGTGCGCCACGCCGCGACACTGATCAACGTCATGTCAATAACCGCCCACACACACATTGAAACGCGGTCGATAGTTCGGCTCATTCTCTGTCGTAGTTTGGGTGCTCTGGCGACGTTGCTGTCAACAGATAAAGCTGCGATGTCATTAAGGCAGGCGAGAGCAATCTTTCAGCCCTCCAACGAAAACGTCGCTGGCCGATGCGGCTCTGGAAGAGTAATTATAAATTCCCCACTAATTTGATTGAGCGCCGAAATTACATCTGACATAATAGCAGCCATCACTCTCATGGTATGTACTTTAAAGGGGAGAAAACAAAACCAGGGCTAATGTTTCACCGCTGTGGTTTCCTCAATAGCATTTGGAGACCAGATAGAGACATTTAGCAAACTAGCAAAACTCTCGCGCACATCTTATTTAACGTAGGAACAATCTTATAAGAATAAATCGGCTCTATACAATGGTCACATACACCATAGACACGAACAATAACATGTCATGTGATGAGCAAACAAGCGACACACGAACGATGCCATGACATGTGCTGAGCAAACACCCGATAAATGACATGGGATACGAATATAACAAAAAATGTGTACAGTACGGTGGCGTGCAATAGGCGAGGATGCTGGAATGCTGGCGCGGTGTGCGGTATGCGAGTGCGCTATACCGCTTGTTTGATAACTTCGTCGACATTGATAGCGTCTTTCGCAGCATGAAAACCAGCGAAAACGCTATCACATACCCACAGAACGACAAAACACGCGCATCGGTTCCTTCCGCAGATGGCAACGCTACTAGAACAGCGTACTTGAAGCGAACGTTTATCGGGCCTCGCCATTGGAGTGGCTTTGTAACGTGGACGGACGTTGAGAGATAAGCTTGTCCAGCTTTTCCATGACCCTTCCCCGTGCCCCGCGGGTGACCGCTCATGTCACGCTTGCCAAGCGGGTGTGCTGGGCAGGTTCACAACGCGCAACGCCATCTATCAGATCACGTGTTAAACGCGTGCCCCTGGTGAGAAATCCTCCTACACGGCCAGACTCGTTGCCCCTTGATTATTGCCGCACAAAAATTACGGACGAAGTTTGTTTCGCATGACCGATATACGTCACTTTGGTAGTGAGCATATCACACCCGGCTCCCGTGGGGCATCCAGTCAGCCAGAGGTCAAATCCGCTGGCAAATGTCATAAATGATGCTGAATACATTAAAAAACAATGCAAAAACAAGTCGTAGATAGAACGCTTCTGGTCTTTTTCATATGTTTTCAAAGAGTCAGCTGCGTCGCCCAGCGAAGTAAGCACACAAGCACTTGAACGTAGCTTTTCACTGAGCAAGGCACGGGTTAGTCTGTTACAGGACAGCAAAATGAGAAAAGACCGTTGGAAGAAGTACATGGGTATTACCTTCTAGCTTCTTACATTGTAAAAGTAGCAAACAAACAACAGCGGTCTCAAGACTGCTTGCTATTATCTTCAGTGCAGTTATATTAAGCGAGGGCAATTAAATTCATAACGCGAATATATTTGTTATTAGTATTTGTTTTTATTGTAATATATATATATATATATATATATATATATATATATATTTGTTATTCATAACAAATGTCATGCTGTTGTTGACCACGTTATGATGTGACGGTAGCGGACGGGTGCATCACAACAGAGCAAATTAACAAAAACACCGGGCTGAGCAGAGATAAAAAACAATGTCCATTGGATTGCTATCATTTTTACCCCTCCAAGTGATAAGGGGTGTTGATATTACACAGCAGGTACGTGGGGTAGTTCCCATTGTCTGCTTCAGTTTGCCCTGCCAGTCTTTCTCGAGCTTTGCTGTGAATTTCTATGTGCTCAAATTATCGGATATGTTTTCAGTGCATTGGCCAGTCCTGGTACCTGCCCGTAGACTTCCAGCTATTCCTAGCTGCACCATTCATGATGTTGCCATACGTCTACAACAAGAAGATCGGTAAGGGATTTGCGCAAGAGACTTGAGCAGGCCCACTTCCTCCCTAGTGCAATCGTCACAATCGCTGCATGAGTTACCAATGGCTTGTTCAATACCAGACTTTTGCGCCATTGTCAGACTTAATTCGCCACGAGTTTGATTTGACTGTTTAATAAGCTTTCGCTAAACCTAAGATGCATCACATCAGCCACTGTTCGTTCAAAATCAGAATGTTGCGCTGCAACTGCCAATTCACTGGCTGTCTCACTCGGGCTGCGTCCCCCAATCTCCATGACCGGCAATATTGAGTCCTGTCTCAGCCTGCACCGGCCGCCCCCCGGCCCGCCTCCCGCCTCCAGCTCATGACACCCTTCCTCGCCCTCCCGACCGGCTGAGGTCGGCCGCGCTGCTGTTGCAGGCGTCGCCTGGCTGGCACTCCTGGCCGCAGGCTCGGTGGCCGTGCCTGCCGTCATCACCTACCAAGAGGATCTCCCGCCCACCGATCTGTTCTTCAACATCAACTCGATGTAGGTCCTCGCTTCGGACGCTCGCGCTCCTGCGGTGTAGATATTCGGCTTTGGCGCCCGTGTAGGTCTTCGCTTCGGACGCTCCCGTTCCTGCGGTGTAGATATTCGGCTTTGGCGTTCGTGTAGGTCTTTGCTTCGGACACTCGCTCTCCTGCGGTGTAGGTACTCAGTTTTGGGGGCCGTGACCTAACGGCCCATGTTTTCAGTTTGGGGCTTTGCGACGATGCTGGTCGTAGGCTTCTGAGAGGTTTGATTGACATGGAGCTCGCGACCGGTCGCAGTGGGCATTACTCGTATTTTTTTACTGGAGGTAGAGAAGGTGAATGATGACATTTCGTGGACCCCGCTCACCCGCTGCCCATGATAAATGCCTTGCTGAACCTCGGCAATCATTGATGATGGGGTCTCACATAAAATTCTGGGTCTTGTTGCTTACACTGATATCCCTCCGGACAAAAGATTGGTTCTTGCTGGATCCCTGCACGTTCCAGGCTGCATCCTGGTTCTTGCTGGATCTCTTAGCATAGTTCTGGGCTGGATTTCGGTTTCCGCTCGATTTGTCAACAAAATTTCACGCTGGATCTTAGTTCTTGATGGTTTTCTTGGTTTGGTATCATACTAAAATTTGGTTCTTGACGTATCTTTCAGCTATTGGCAGGCTGAATGCATGGTCTTACTGGATCTTTTGATGTAATGTGGGGCAGGATCCTGGTACTTGCTGGGTGTTTTGACCTAATATGAGACTGGATCCTGACTCCTGCTGGATCCTTCGATCAATGATAAATAATAATATACCAGACTGTAACAGATTTGCCTTGGGAGGAAGACGCCTCTCCAATGGCTTAAAGCGCCCACCCACTCGTAGAATTTCGTCCCCTGAGGAAAACAATGCTGAAATGGACGAAAAATCTTAGGAAGCTGGGTAGTGTTACTTGCCAGATAAGAAAGATGATTCAAATACACCAGATCGTGCACCAGGGCAAAACAGCTGTAAATGTACATCTAACATAGCAGCCGTGCCATTCGATTATTTCCCAAATGTGCTCGGTAAGTGAAGAGAGACCGAATGCCCTCGATCTTTATGCCCTCCCCCCCCCCCCCCCCTGCGATAACTGGGTTTGCTTCCCATTGCAAGTTCCTTGAGCGTACACTGAGCCCACCCCCTCCCAATTTATGAAACGGTCCTATGCCTATGTCCTTTGGGGCCATTATGACCAGTGGAGGGTCCATTATTGACTGTAAGGGGCACATTCCGGGTTGTAAGGGCCCACTATCTAATCTTAGGGGGTCATTTTAACATTTAGGAGTTTTCTACCTCTCTCACAACTTGAACATGGTTCCCACGCCCCTGATTGTCAGGCACGCGTCTGCCTCTTTCATAATATAAGCGCATTAGATTGTGGTATAATGATATGATAGACTATGGTAAATGCTTGGCTATGTTTCAGACCGAAAGCGCAACAGTTTTTCGAGGACTTCTACATCAAACCGTGGTGTCGGGCTTCGCCTTACATCGTCGGCATCGGGATGGGTCTGCTTCTGCACCACATAAAGGCTAACAAGATCACATTCGAAAGTCGAGGGGGTTGCTTTGCACCACATCACGGCTACCAAGATCACCATCAGACTACCCGCCGGTAAGTCGAGGGGTTGCTCTTGCACCACATCAAGGCTAACAAGATCACCATCGAATACCGCCGTAAGTCGAGGGGTGGCTTTTTGCACCCACATCAAGGCTAACAAGATCACCTCAGAATACCCGCCCGTAAGTCGAGGGGTGGCTTTTGCACCAAATCAAGGCTAACAAGATCACCATCAGAATACCCGCCGTAAGTCGAGGGGTTACCGCCTCACTACTGAGTTCGCAGAATGCCAGACATCTTGTGCTGAAGCACAGAAACGCCAGTGGTGGTGTCGGTTGTTGGTCCGTGGCTGCCAACTTTGAGAGCAGGGTGGCATTAGTGGGTTTCATTAATTTGGGGGTTGACGTAGTGCCAAATTTGATTGCAGGGTGGCATCAGACGGCTCTATTAATTTGAGGTGGAATACGTTATGTCCTGAATACATGTGATCGCCGAACGCTGTTGTGAAAATGCTCACTTCAGCCCAGCACCAGCCAGCCCAGTTAAGATAGTTACCAATGCTGCATTTCACGTAAGGTAAAACTCTTATCGGTTGTTTAAACTTGCTAAGCTGCGGCAGCAAGGTGGCATTCGAGATGGAGTGCGTGAAAACCAGTCATGAGTCGCCCCAGCTGTGGCCACCGCGTCGCATTAGCGCCATCTATGTTTCACCCGGTGGCGTCATCTGTGTGGCAGGCTGTCAACGTTGCGATGTGGGCGCTCATGTCGGCCACGGGCCTGGTGATCGTGTACGGCACGCACCAGTGGAACAAGGACCCGACGGCCACCTGGACCACAGCCGAGGCCGTGTCCTACGGCTCGCTACACCGTCTCGCCTGGGGCATAGCCCTCAGCTGGGTGGTGTTCGCCTGCGTCAACGGATACGGAGGTACGACCGGGACCCGTTCCAAGGCATGAAGTACGACCAGATAACGAAGAACAATTTGAGACTCGAGTCCGGCCCGGCGGTGGGAACCGGACAGCTCCATGCTATCACTCCATGGTATTTTCTGACTCGGCTTGTGTTCTGTTGGATGCAATCTGTATGTTTACCCTAACAAGCCTGAAAATCTCATCGCAATACGCATACATCCTCCCCGCATTTTCGTCGCCAACTTAAGTTGTCAGTAAAATTGCCTAACAGTTACATCCCATAAAAATACGAGCATTGACTTGTGGACAGGACCAAATATCATGCAGCGTCAGAGCCAACATGGACACCTGTCACCATGCACGTGTTACTCTCGGGCTCACCTCAAAATAATTAAATAATGTTCCTCACGCCGATGCGTGCTGCAAAGCTGAGGACTGGCTGGATCAGGGCGTCGCTGAGCACAGCCTATGACTTGGTGCAAGGATGCCGCGCTGACCGCCGCTTGGCACTGACCGATTTCAGGATTCGCAAACATGCTGCTGTCATTCAAAGGCTTCATCCCGCTTGGCCGACTGACCTACACCACCTACTTAGTGGCCGTGCAGGTGCAGACCTGGTACTTTTCCTCCTTCAAGGGTACGGCGCGCTACGGCAACACCATCATGGTGAGCAGGGTGCAGTGCCTTCTGGGGGCCATCCTGCTCTCGTGAGAGCCGGGGATTCCGGCGTCACCTCGCGTCGAGGGCGGTCTCTGGCAGGGTCCAGCACCAGATCTGTTGGAGCTGTGTGACGAGGCTCGGAGTGGGCTCGCTGGCAGAGTGTTTTGCCGCAATTGTTTGTTTGGTTTTGTGTTTTTGTTTTGACAAAGAATCACGACACATGGTCAGGGCTTGCTCTCGAATATTCCGGAGCTCAAACAGCGTGTACAAAAAAACTTGGTGGCAAAAAGTGACTATTCTGGTCATAATAGTCTGGAAAAGATTACACAAAAATAGACAAAATAATGTTCTCAAGAACGGGATGATCCTAACTGAATCCCTATGAACAAAACCCGACCGTCAGTTTTCGGTCACATTTGACAACAATGAAATCAAACCATCACAAAGCTTCAAGATTCTAGGTGTCGACATCAATTCGTGTCTTTCATGGGAAGAGCACGCCCCATTATCGTGCGCCGCTGCTACGGCACTCTCACAGGTCTCGCCAGGATGCGATATCGTCTTCCCAAAGAAGCTGATGAGTTCTTGATCGAGGCACTTGTTTTCCCATGTAGGATTCTGTTCGTCAGTATTGGGAGACTTTAATGTGACGCAGAAGCGACGAGCGCAAGAGGTTTTGAACTTTGACGCCCGTATCGAATGCAATACCGTGGGCAGAGACTGAGTGACTCCCCCTCTGCACGAACTAGGGTGGCACAAAATGGAAGAACTGACATGTGAACGAAATATTGATGGTCAGTCGCAATATTCTCACAGTCACCCGCGCGCCAGAGATGCTACGAGATCGTGTCGTACTCCGCTCTGGCGTGTCCGTCTGTGCCACCCGAGCAACGCCCGTGGCAGCAGCAGCTGCCACGTGCCCGCACTGAGTTTGGGCGCTGGCCGTTCATGTATCGCGCGTCTAGGCAATGGAACTCGCCGCCTGAAGACGTGCGAGTGTCAGCGATCGTAAACGATGTGGTCTTTGTTGACATATTGACCTCCTATTTGCCAAGGAGAGGAGCGATTCTTGTCGTATAGTGTGTCGCCTTTATCTGCGTTTTATTAGGCCACATTATGAAGCTCTTGGCCGCTAAGTCACGCAGCTGGGGAACAGCTGTCAACCTCATCCAGTAGGTGCAGAATTCACCTGCAATATCGGCATAGTTTGTCATCGGCATAGAATAAATTTTGCCGACATTGTTAGCAATGTTTGAAATGAAAGCTTTTTATTGACGATATTTGCCCCAAGATGGTTCAAGCTTACCATCTCACACGCAATGCCACTTTCATGAACCTGCCAAGATCCGGTCAGAGGCCATTTAATACATGTCAGGAAGGGAATGGAGAAGATTGGCATTAAATCTCCATTTTTAATGCATGGCTATAGTTTGTTCACATTTCTGCTGTTGTCTCATATGACAAATTCCGGTAAAGCTCAATTTGATTTAATGTTAAGTTTAAAGCTCAATTTGATTTAATGTTGACAAAGCCGACACGAATATTTGAATCGGCAAAAGTGACTATTAATTGTTATGAATTGCCGAAGCAGATGACATATTTCGGGCCGTGAATATATGTTTAACGACTTTTAGAAATGAACGCAATGCGTGTCTGCTCATCCTTTGTTTGAACGCCAGCGACTGTAGTAGCCGCATTAGCTGTATTGGCTATTTATATCAGCAAACATGGCGTGGTCAGGATTCGAACTCGTAGCCGCATGTGGATACCGAAGACGCTATCCGCTCGACCCGTGCCCTAGCATAAGCCACTTTCGTTAAGTTGAATAACTTTTATTGACGACGTTTGTTTTTCAGGTGTTCACCTTCCTGAGTAACCTGATTGTCTCCACGGCGATCGCCGCCGTCCTCTCCCTCTGCTTTGAATCTCCGATGATGAGCATAGAAAAGATCATCTTTCCACAAAGAAGTAAGAACATTTGCTAGAAAGCTGCTACGCTAGCTGTCACTTAACCAGCTATTGTTTCACTTCCGAAGACAGGTGTAATGCCATTTTCGTAAAATGCAGAACAATTCACAATGCACGTGATGATACTTCACGTTGTTTTGCTGTGCTCAGGTTCTTTTAGATGACAATCTGCTTTACACTAACATGCTTGTGACCCAATTTCATTAAACGGCGAAAACCTGATCAAAGACGCTGTGTTATCTGGCGCTATCGCTTTTCGCTGGTTGGAGTCGAGATGCTCGCTGCTGAAATGAAGCGTACCTCCGCACGACAGCCATCATTGGACTGCACCGACACGCTCCGAATGTGTACTCGCTTACGGGACATTCTCTTGCAGGGACGAAAACGGGACCTAGTGAAACAACACCTAAAGACCTGGCTTCTGCGGGACCAGCGCCCGGAGAAACACCCCATGAGTCAAGAACCAGGCTCTAGGAGACTACAGCTGGCGTGCCAAACACAGATAAAAGTGGCGTGTCTATTCTGTTTATACATTATTGCTACCGTAAGTTAACCAGCGTATCAAAGCATTTAGCAAAGATGAGCATCCGTTTCAACAAGGCGTTCACCATCTCGGAGAATGCAATAAGTATCAAGCACGTATGGTTTAGTGATGCAGTGCCACGGTATGCTCACTGTGCGCTGTGCGCTACGCGTCAGGCCGCCTTAACCACAAAGGACAAAGTCTCAAACAGCAACTATGTGTGGGTTGCGGCCAGTGCGGCCTATAATGCGACACATAAGCAATTATTTGTCATGGAAGACTTGTACCAGTCACAACTTTGATAAGGTCGATGATGCATGTGGTTGATACCTCTGATTGTTGGATATATTAATGAATAAATGAGGCATGGTTGAAGTGCTTGTACTTTTGTGAACGCCGTAATAAACAAGCCTTGCTTCTCTCTTGAAATACTTTACGTGCGTCCAGCAAATCCCGATAAAAACCACACCTCACTAACATTTTTTTGCGTTTTGATGTGGAAAATCCGATCCATAGCGTATGGGAGCAGTCTACTTAGTTGCTAGCTATGAAATGGCAAAGTTTTCTAACTTCCGCCCCAGGCTCTTAATTTTACGGCCACAGAAATGTCGGTTCCGACGAAAAACAGCAACGTAAACACCCGCTGGGTACCTGTCCAGGTACCAACTCCATGCGCTGCCACTCACCTGCCAGACGATGGGTCGAGGTGAGTGGAGTTGAGACAGACTCCAGCATCAACTTTCATCCCCTCTCCAGCTACCCTCATGACCAATCAGTCATGGCGGTAACAGCTGATAAGACTTGTGACGCATAAGCTTTTCGGCATCGGCAAATTCGGATGCCAAAAAGGAGATGATGATATTTAACGGTGCTCATCATAAGGACATTTTAATTCAAAATGCTGCGCAAGCATGTAGCAGGCTCAAATTGAATTCCAAAGCTATGAGAATAGGATGGACGCTCTGAGGTTTTCACTATGTATCGGCATCAGTTTGGAGAGGGTGTGCTTACTTTTCAGGTGCTATTGCAAAATATGCCCAGGAAGGAAAAGAAAGTGACCGTAAAGTGTCACCAAGGTGGTTTTAAATGCAAAAGTAATCAGTTTCGTACTTATGTAGGGCCTGGAAGACGAAATTTCTTAACAGACGTAACTGAGACTTGTTGTTTCTTTGGAACAACTCTATCTAAAATGATGATACAGGTTTAACGCCATAGAATAATGTAGTTATATAACATGCATTTTTTGAGCCATTTCACGACGGTGAAAAAATAAAATAGTGCCTGGAAAGTGAGGACAAGATATAAAACTTTCTGAAAACAGTAATGCCAAGCACAATCCGTGTTTTTGAAAATGGGACAACACCTAAGGTGTCTTTGAGTGAGCTTTATCGACATCAATCCGGCCCTGTTCGATTTGTAGTCAGCACGATTGTCAACTAGAATGCGTGACGTCATGAGTGCTGACGGAGCGTTCGATGTATGAGCTGACGGGAAAATCTTTAACTTTACCCTTCTTTTTCCTTTACTTCAGACCACACACCAACACTGACTTACCGTCGGCCATAACGCATTGCCTATAAATTGGCGTTTGGAAGTGGAGCCCCTGGGGCCGGTATTACCCCCATTTACCCCATCCGTAAGCTGAGTGTTTTTCCCCATTACCGTCTCATTTAAATATCTCTTTCCTTCTGATTTTAAATGATTGCTCAATTTGTGCACGCAAAAGGTCCATCGATCCTTCACTGCTCCTTATGCTAGCGTGCGGCACATCCTTTTATTGAACAAAGTCTACTTGGCCACTGTTGATCTGACTGCGTGACCTCCCCTGTCTCTGCGGTATCTGCAGCTGGAATTGCCTTCGGTTGGTGACCTTACGCTGTGATCCGGCCATCTACGGCGGTGCCCAGAGTTCAAGCTGTTTTCCCACGGTTGCTGCACTCCATACCCTGTGCTGTTATAACGGTTTCCTGGGCTCCAGATGTCTTTCATCTCCAGCCTGCCTCGTGACCTTCAACCTTCTCTCATGACCTGTAACCTGTCCCCGTGTCCGGTAACCGGCCTCATGCCGTGTAACCTGTCCCTGCGTCCTGTAACCTGCCCCCGTGACCTGCAACCTGCCTCTATGACCTGCAACCTTCCATGTGACCTGCAATCTGCCACATGAACTACAATCTGCCCCGTGACCTGCAACATGTCCGTGTGACCTGCAGCATGTCCCCGTGACATGCAACTTGCCCGTCGTGACCACCCATGATCTAGTGGCACGTAACCTGACACAGTGACCTGCAACATGATCTAGTAACCTGTTACCTGATCCTATAACAACCTAGCTCACTGACCTGCAATTAGCACATTGACTCGCAGTCTGACCCAGCAGCCTGCATCTTTACCCCGTGGTCTGCAACCGTACCGTGATCTGCAACCTGGCCTTGTAACATGGAATGTTGCACCCGCGTCTGAAAATCGCGTCTGTCCTGGGCGGATGCTTTGGTCAGTGCCTGTCCCGCCAGTGTCGTGTCAGGAGATCCAGCTGTCCTCCGCTGATGACGACAACTCAGCTGATCAACTGGCGCGAAATACTATTTCACATATTTTTTTTTACTAAGAAAACAGCTCCGATGGTGAAACCACCCGTGGATATAGTTACGCTCACTGTTATCTTTAAACTCCGTTGATATAAATGTGCACGTTGTTTACCATTGTCTACAGTATTCGGCACTAATTAGGAATTTCGTCAGATTAGTGGTTTAATGTTTGTTACCGCATGCCATTAATGATCCTTATAAGGCAACATAGGGAACGCCAAAAAAGCTTTGCCTCGTGATATTTATCTGGTGTTGTCAAGGTGAAATAATCACGTCCGCAAAAGGCAGAACACTGTCACGCAAGTGTCGTGATTTCTATGCCCCAGCCACTAAAGCAGCGTTTGAAGTAGGAGAATCCTCGCTGCGGTGTATTTTCTTTGGGGGAGGGGGGGGGGGTAGCGCTCCAACGATAATTTTATGTCAGCGCTATGTACCATCCCGGATCACGGTCCAAGCCAACTGCTGGGACAGTGCAAACTGCAGACCTTGTATCCTTGGGGTCGCAGTGACTTATTTACATCATCGGAGTCTTTGGAGTGACATGCGACAATGCCCACTGCCGAGCGAAAGCTTATTTCAATCCTGCTACGTACCGCTGACGTTTTTTAAGCACACTTTCGTAAGATGATGACATTGCATGTCCGTTGCACATGATTACAACATACCGAACACGTTCGTCATCGACATCATCTTTACTCAATCTTTGAATAGCGCGTTCAGTGAAAGCCGAAGCCCGATCTTGAATGTAAATAAAATAAAATATAAATTTTGGTGTCTAATTTTGTTTGGCATTCTCAGTCTGACGTCAGGGACCTTGACCCGTTGACACCATCACTAGCCCGAAGCCCGAGGACATGCGGCAGCACGTTGCATATGTATGTGTTGGAAGGGGGGGGGAATAAACTACTGATCTATGCACAGAAGGGGACCGATGTGTGGCTCCAACATGGACGTTTGCGGTCGCTCAGTGCAGGCGATGAAAGATACCCCAGGACAGCAGCTGCAGCCTGAGCATTGCTGACTCCGAATACATGAAGATCGCGTCTCGCACATGAAAAGAAATTAGCCTTCAAGAGAAGAGGGCTTACAACGCCGGACGGCAGAACGAGATAGCTGGGCACGTCCTGTGTCCAGTTCCGTCACCAAAACACCATAAGACGCTTGGTTATAGCTCCGTAGTTACGTACTTTCTGGTAACGAGATACAAGACGCGCACAGAATACAACCGACGTCATTCAAGCAAGCTATGCGCGTTAGCGTGCGTTGTCACACGCTGCAGCTGCCTACGAGGAACCGTTTCGGTAGCGTTAGTGGTTTCCCCATGCACCAACAGCTTGTAGGCTATTATCCAATGTAGACTATTATCCACAATTTCCATGTCCTTGCAAACCAGTGGTTGAGAGCGCGGCCCCTAACCCCGCAGTGGGCCCACCTTGGTTCAGGTCGACAAAAGGGCTTTAGCGAGCAGTAGCCAGGCCCGAGTGGACTAGCGAACGAGCTGGCTGCCAAGCTGTCCGATTTGTCATGTCCGCGGCATTCAGTCTGCTCAGGATGACGTAAGGGAGTTGCAGGTTACCACCAGGGTCGATAGAACGGTTAAAACTTCGGACGCTGTTTTAACACGCGCTTGTTTGCAGACCAGCCTGAAATTTGACCTTGTTTGACATTTTTTGACCCGAAGGTCATGACCTAAGAACCTCAAAGCTTGATCTAAGTGCGTTTACGTACAGATCAACACACCATAGGAATTTTATGTCTCTAGCTCTCTTAGTTTCTAAGATCTCAAGAAGGGGTCAAATTGACCCCGCTCCCCACCCGAGCGAAGGATATCCAGACGGCCACCAGGGTGCTAAGCCACATAATTAAGTTCCAGTGTATTGGTTGGTTTTCAGATCATGGGGTTAGGCTGGCTGGTTGCAGTTCATTGGTCAGGTTGCAGAACATGGGCCCATCTCTTATCCCGGGGTCAGGTTACGGGTCACCGGAACAGGTTGCAGGCCATGGGTAAGGTTGAAGGTCATGGAGGTAGGTTGCAGACAGCATCCAAGACACCACTTTAACAGTCCAGGTCATGGGGTTCGGAAATCGGTGGAGAACAGCTGGAACTCAAGACGCCGCGGTAAAAAGCAACAAACCGCACGGTAAATTCATCGGTGGAAAGCGATTCGAGCTCCGGACACCACGGCAGCAGAAGGGATCGCGCAGGAAGATCAGCAGTGGACGATAATTGACCACAACACCGTAGGTAAAGGATAGGCCACAGGGCCAGGTTATCAGTGAAGTACAGCTAAGACTTCGTGCTTCAATGTAACGGATGGAAGTCACACATAGTCAGAGGTGAAGGACAGCAAGGACTTCAGAAAAGGTGTGACGGTGTTAGCGTAGGTGCCATTCGAGCTCAAGCATGGGATTTGAGCCGTCGAAAACGAACCGTCTACCTTAGGTGGTTGACGACCTAAGCGCGCTGAACTTATGGAACTTCCGAGCCGGGAAAGGACGTCTCACGTCGCAAAGAAACGTCAAAAAGCCACACCAACAGCCACTTAAGAGACAGGTTGGAAAATGACGACGAAATCAGGGCAGAATGTCGAAAGCAACAAAGCCTAACAGACGTCGACAAGCAGGTAAGAGTCGACGCGGGCAGACAAGCGTCGGTGACTTGGACAGACGTCGACGACGCAGGCAGATGAATGTCAACGACGCAGGCAGATGTATGTCAACGACGCAGGCAGGCAGACGTCGACGACACAGGCAGACAGAGACGGCGGCCGAGACGAAACTCGCTCCGACGATGCAGCCCATACTCAGGATGGCGCCAGTAACCGGTTAACCCTACGTGAACCCTAAGATGGTGCCAGTCGGAGCAGGGGTAGCGCAACAGATTTTGAGTTGGGGCACGGGATTTTCCGGGAGGCCTCCTGAATGAAATGGGCCTCTTCAACGGGGGAGTCCTAGGCAGTGTCATATTCAAGGGAGAGGGGTACTGAGCGCATGTTCTCCTTCATCAAAACAGGATGGGCATTCTCACTATTTAACAAAAGATTTCATTAACAAAGACCCCCTGATGCATAAAGGGGCATTCTTATCCAAAACAGGACGGTTCAGTTTCAAGAAGGGGCCTCCAAATCTACTCGAGTGGCCTCGTTATAGTATAACAGGGCATCCTCATTCTGAAAACAACGTCCAGATTTGGTAAACAGGGTATCTTTATTTGGAAAACAGGGCATCCTGATTTGCTGATTTGGAAAACAGGACATCCCATATGATGCATGCAAGGGACCTTCCTCGCAAAAAATGGGCCTCCTGAACATAGAGGGTGCATCCTAACCCAGAAAACCGTTCTCCTCGTCGATAATGGGGCCTCCTGAACCAGCCAACTGTTCTCCTTAACTTTTTGATCGAAACCTTATTTCGAAACGACTTTTTGACGGACGCTAGCTTTTGCGTTGGTGAATGTTTCCTTGCTTGCAGTTTTCAAATCTGCCGGTAATTTTTTGATAATATGGAGTTCCTCGTCCCTTGAGCCCTCGCTTGACCTTGAAGGGCAGCCTTGAGAGGCCAGGAATTTTTTTATGGACGCTAGCTCTTGCCTTTGTGAATATTTTGATACTTGCAGTTTTCAAATTGGCCAGCAATTTTTGGGTGATATGGAGTTCCCCGTCCTTTGACACAGCTTTTGACCCCGAAAATCACATGATATTGCAAAATGGTGGTCGTGTTTGGTGTTCTCATGTCAAAATTTACCCTCAGACCTTTCTTTGCGGAGAAATAGGATCTCGTCGATGAGTAAATCGCTGAAAAAATCGCCAGCTTCACGGACATAAGAGCACGCCGAACTCAATGAATGTGGCACTGAACCAACGTTCAACTTACAAGAAAACGCAGTAGATCCTGCCTTGGCGACCTTGACGTTGGAGGGGCTGCAACTTCTTTGATACAGTTTACCAGTCCAAGACTTTGTATGGATCGTAATCAGGAAGCCAATATCTGTCAGCATACGGAGTTCCGAAAAAAATAAAGTGGTCCGCCTTTTATTGTGATATTTCATATTGATATATAACCGGTAATAAGGCGTACCGGTTCAAGACTTTACACTTCTTATACTCCGAAACATATGCTTCATGTCCTCAGAAATTTTCAGCCAAATCTAAGGAGTCCGATGAATATCAAATATAAAACTGAGTCAAGAATGAAGAAAACGTGATGCATGCCTTATATACCTAATACCTTGGCGATTTCAGCATTTGAAAAGCTAAAACTTTTCTGATGCATCTTACCGGCCCAAGACTTTGCGTTTTTCGTTATCAGGTCAATGTCTACTAGCATACAGAGTTTAGAAGGAATTGAAGCACCCCATCCTTTTTACTGTGATCTTTCATATTGATATATTCCCGAAAGGAAGCGTACCGATCCAAGATTTCGTGTTCATTGTACTCAGGAGATTAACTTGCATCTGTATCCAAAGTTTCAGGCCAATTTTAGGAGTCCGGTGAATCCCGAATATGGACCTGAATCTGAATGTGAATATGGTGCCAATTTGACGAACGTGGGATGGTGTGGAATCACATTTGTCCAACCTTGGTAAACGGATACGGCGGCATAAGTGACGCAAGGCAACCGACGCCCACCGATGCTTCTCTCGGGCGTGTGCTTGTGGACCGCATTTCATCGTTCCCTGGAATGCGGTGTGGTGACGTGGGATTGCTACGATAGAGATGATAGTGTGATTATACCCTCAGCATTTCAACGAAGTGGTCATTAGCGGAAACAAACCGTTGAAGCCGCGAGCAGGACCCAGTCCTCAATGGTGCAATTTTGACAGAGTCATTCGGAGACTGACTGGCATATGTCGTAGGGCTCGATATACCTAACTTCGAAAGCCGCCTACAGTGACAATCAAAATGTTCAGCTGGCTGGACAACCATGAAGAAAAGAAGAAGCAAGTGGAGGTGTACGAAACTGTATTTGAAGGGCTGAAGAAAATATACAAGCAAAAGGTTTTGCCTCTGGAAGAAGCCTACCAGTTCCATGATTTTCACTCTCCAAAGTTAGATGACCCGGACTTTGATGCCAAGCCAATCATCATGCTGGTAGGGCAGTATTCAACTGGAAAGACTACCTTCATCCGGTATCTCCTTGAGAGGGACTTCCCTGGCATCCGCATAGGCCCTGAACCAACAACTGATGGCTTCATCGCTGTCATGCATGGAGACCATGATGGAATAATTCCAGGAAATGCTCTTGTTGTGGACCCCAAGAAACCATTCCGACCACTCTCCAAGTTTGGGAATGCCTTCTTAAACAGGCTGCAGTGTTCAACAGTGGACTCTTCAGTTCTTCGCTCCCTGACAATTGTGGACACGCCAGGCATCTTGTCAGGTGAAAAGCAAAGAGTAGACAGAGGCTATGACTTTGCAGGAGTGCTAGAGTGGTTTGCAGAGAGGGTGGACCGGATCATTCTGCTGTTTGATGCACACAAGCTAGACATCTCAGATGAGTTCCGGAGGTCAATTGAGGCTCTGAAAGGCCATGACGACAAGATCAGAATAGTTCTGAACAAGGCTGACATGGTGGACCATCAGCAGCTGATGAGAGTGTATGGAGCCCTCATGTGGTCACTGGGCAAGGTGATCGCCACCCCTGAAGTGGCGCGAGTGTACATTGGATCATTTTGGGACCAGCCTCTGCGATATGACTCAAACAGGAAGTAAGTTTTTCTCTAAGAGTGCATGATTTGGTCATGTAACCAACAACTTAATGATTTACTTTACTGTGGATTCAATGTGTCTTTCTACTCCCTTGGGACTCCATATGATCATTCCGCTCATTCTTAAATGGCTCACACGAGTGTCTTAAAGACGGGCTACTTTTCAAGCAGCTTGCTGGATGCTTTCCTAATCTATGCAACTGGTCCTGGTTTTGCTCATGGGATAAGATTGCTCTCATATGGTCTGGAAACAGAGCTATCTTTACCTAATACCTATATAATACCTAATACCTACCTACCTATAACTTGATGCACCTAATATTGCTCTATAGGTAAGCTTAATTTTTTTTGCCAGTTAACTAACTTTCCCTTGTCACTGTCTAAGCAGAGGTCCAGTTATAGTCAGGACTTTTGCTTGGTGCTTCTGTGCTGTAAAGTTAGTGTATATTTTCTAGGCAATCAATGCATTTTTGTGATCTTTTTAATATAAACAAAGCATCTTTGTCCATGTCACTCATCTTCTGAATCATTTTTCACAGACTGTTTGAAGCTGAAGCACAGGATCTCTTCACCGATCTGCAGTCATTACCAAGAAATGCTGCCCTCAGGAAGCTGAATGACCTCATCAAGCGTGCCAGGCTTGCAAAGGTGCCACAAGATTTGATTCTGTGATGAAGGCTTTAATTAGCTGCTGTACCCTCTGATGTGCTTGGATCCCCATGCAGTTTAAGATGGTATGACAGAGCAGTCATACACCACTGCAATACTTCAAAAACCTTTTAGGAATTATCCTGTTCAAACATCAAATGCTCCTGCTGAACAAAAATGTTGTGATAACCTGGTGGGGCCAAGGCTCGCTCAACAAGCACTGCTTCGTGTGAACTTTGGTCTGAGACATCCGGCAATAAAAAATGGTTGAACTAAATTTATGATAAAAAATGGTTCAACAATTGGTGTTGAACACGCTGCTCACTTGGGCAATAAGCCTTGAGGTTCAGAGGTATGGCTTTATTTAACAGATTAGTCAAAGTGAAATAGCAGCCCTGGAGCTCCACAGGGGTGGGGGAGGGGGTGGGGAGGGGGATTCCATTTGCATCTTCATTGTAGGGATCATCTGTAGATTTTGGGCCACTGGTTGATATAAGAGACATGAGCTTACATTGAATGAAGTCCTGCAATAAGCATCTTGGCTGCTTTAGGTTTACATAAGGATGTAGCTGGACCATTAGTATCACATATAGATCAGTTATCCCATGTTTCTCATTTAGATAAATGGGTATAGCACCTGGTCTCTAATGCCTCAACAAGCGCCATTTCTAATGCCTCAACAGGTGCATGCCTACATCATCTCAGCTCTGAAGAAGGAAATGCCTGCCATGTTTGGCAAGGACAGCAAGAAAAAAGAGCTGATCAAGAACCTGTCGGCGATCTACGAGGCCGTGCAGCGGGAGCACCAGATCAGCCCTGGCGACTTCCCCAACATCGCCCGCATGCAGGCAAGCTTGTGCAGCCCTGGCACACATACACACTGTGCACTAGCCAAGCATGCCAGCTGGGGCGGCACCACTTGCAAAGGAGGATGGGTGGGCCCCCACATAGTTGGGGGATTTAGCATGGCATTGCATGAAAGAAATGCACTTTTTGTGCCATGGCACTGCATACAAGAAACGCCCTTGGTGTACCGCCTTGCCCCCCACCACCTCCATTAAGTCTCTAGCTGGTGATGTTCTTGAACACAGCCCTTTGAGCAGTGTGCTTGGTGTGTGTGGCACAGGAGCTCACTTTTCGGCCACATTGTTCGATGTCGACAGCAGATATTTGGCAATTAAGCAAGGTTCTCTTTCGTTTTATTAAAATGCATTTAGGTATGATGCATTTGAGGACATAACAATGCAGGTGCAGCAGTTGGCACTCAACCCGCGCCAGGAACTCATTGGCCTGTGGGGCCGGCAGCACTGCCGCGCTGTCGTCTGCCGCCTCTAGCCGAGGTGCCGCTGTTCACCGGTCCCTCGTCGCCGCAGGAGCGGCTGCTGCACGAGGACTTCAGCAAGTTCCAGCTGCTGAAGCCGCGGCTCATCCAGAACGTGGACAAGATGCTGGCCGAGGACATCGCCCGACTCATGGCCATGATCCCGCTGGAGGAGAAGCAGAACATGGCGCCAAAAGGTCTGGACGGCGCCGGTGATGCTGGGGCGGGCTGGGAAACAAAGAATAGCAGGCATGGAACGCGTTGCCCTGGTTGTCTTCCGCGAGGCATTAAATAAAACCTTGCCTCGCTGAATGATCGTCGAAACTGTGAGGATCTGAATCTATCTTATTAAGTTAGTACTTGTGTGGATACTTGCCAGTCATGATTATTATTCCTGGGAAGGCCAGTAACCAGTGTGACATGTGGCCCGGGGGGTCCCCAAGTCTCGATGCCGCCTCCGCACCAGCTGTTTTGCTGGTTTGCGGCGTCAGCAGTGGGACGCCAGTGGCTGTGGTCAAGTGGAACTCTGTGCACACATCATAGTCTAGTCTCGAGTTCTGGGGCAGGGCGAATTATCCAGGGGAGTTATTTTTTTACCAGGGGAGCAGCATGCATGTCTGGTTATTGTTGTGGAGATGTCTCATTTTGTGGATACTGCATCATCTTTTTAAAAGGATTTTTATTTTTTTCCGGGTTCGGTTGTATATTGACATATTGATATGTATTTTCTGGTATCGGTTGTATATGATTGATGCATACATCTTGTGAGTTGCAGACTTGGATGATGAACATGCAGTATGTGTTAGGACGTGACAGAGAAGCAGCAAAAGTCCTGCAACGGATGCTGTTGTTCGTTTAGGGTCACCTTTCTATGTTTTTGGTTCGGAAATCCCACGGTGCACGTCGAAGATTATTAGGAACTATCCCGTGTTTATTTGCTGTGTTTAGCTAGTAGACTGTCTCGGTATGATAACCTGACTGGCTTGCGTGTGCGAATGTGCCCGAGGTATGTGTTTGTATCGGTGCTGACTTAAGTATGGTATTTGCCGGCCGCCCGTCGTTCTTAACACGTCACGTGTAAGGCCTCCCTGTATTACCGCGCCGTGCTCCACATTTGGTGTGGATATGAGAGTTAGTCACGACAAACAAGACTGGCCTGGCCTTGTTTGTCGAACCCACTGTGTGTCTTGTTGCTCACTGAGCGCTCACAGCGTGCCCCCCTGTTGAGCCGTCCGTGGTCCTCAAACTCGGCCCTTGCGGTGGCTGTGTGCCATGCCGCTGTGCCCCCTCGCCGCCCGTGCTCGTGGCGTGCCGCCCGCGCGCACCACAGCCGTCTGTTGACCGCACGCCTCCCTCCCCCCGCCCGCCTGCGTGTGATGTGTGCGTGACCCCGGCTGATGCCGGCGGCGGCCGCGGCCTGCCGCCAGCGACCCGGCCTGACCCCAGCGACCCGGCCTGACCCCGACTAACCGGCGCGCCGCCGCGCCGACAGACGGCGGCCAGCCGAACAGCGGCGCCGTCGTTTCAGGCGGCGCCTTCGACGGCGTGCGCAGCGTCGACACGCCGTTCGGCTTCAACAAGTGCGAGGGCGCCGACGCCGGCGCCGGCGAGACCGAGTGGGTGGTGGCGCGCGACCGGCCCAAGTACGACCCTATCTTCTTTGGCATGAACCCTGTGGACAACAAGGTCACCGGTGCAGGTGGGTGGATAGGAGGGGCACGTGTCACTGGTGCGGGGATAGGGGGACAGGGGGTACCGGCGCAGGTGGGTGGACAGGAGGGGCACGTGGCTCACTGGTGCGGGGAAGGGGGGGGGGGGGCAGCGGGTCACCGGTGCGTGGGGATAGGGGGAGCAGTGGGTCGCCAGTGCAGATGGTTGGACAGGAGGGGCACGCGGGTCACTAGTGCGGGGGAAAAGGGGGCAGAGGGTCACCGGCGCAGGTGGGCGGACAGGAGGGGCACGCGGCTCACTGGCGCGAAGGGGGTGGGGGGGGGGGGGGGGGGGGATAGGACGGGCAGCGGGTTACCAGTGCGGCCAGGTGCGCAGGAGAGGTACACTGGGGCAAGGAAACAGCGAAACAACTGAACCGGTGCTCACGCTCGCCGTGAAGACATGAGCAAAGCGACGGGGACAGGTCGCTTTGACCAAATGGCTTGAGTTGTAAGGGAAGGTGCAGAAAAGTTTTGAAGAATAGGAATTGTCAGCCATGCCCACTAGTTGTGACTCGCTTGCGTGGAGGAGCCGTTTATAAGTTTCCGTTGTGCACGGAAGGGGAGGTTTGATGAATGTGCCCGAGGTATAAAACGGGGCGAGCTGGATTGCAAAAGCGAAAATGGATTCCAGATATGGTTGCAACCACGCCTGAATACTTAATATTTGTATTTACAGCATAACAGGGCGGAAAATTTGTGTTCACAGCATAACCAGGGGCGGACAATTTGTGTTTACAGCATACACAGGGCGGACCAATTTGTGTTTACAGCATAACCAGGGCGGGACAATTTGTGTTTACAGCAATAACCAGGGCGGACAATTTGTGTTACAGCATAACCAGGGCGGACAATTTGTGTTTACAGCATAACCAGGGTTGGACAATTTGTGTTTACAGCATAACCAGGGCGGACAATTTGTGTTTACAGCATAACCAGGGTGGACAATTTGTGTTTACAGCATAACCAGGGCGAGGGGATACTTGCCAGCGTGACCAGTACGTAACTGGGGGTTAGGTGCGTGCGTGTGTGCCTAAAATGCCTAAAGCGCATTAAAGCGCGTATCGTTTTTTACGGACGGCTCTGAGTATGGACGGCCGCACAATAGTGCTGGCTCTGTCCCAGGCCGCCAGTCAGCTGAGGATTGACTCAGTGGCTGACGCTGGGTGCCGTGCCTGCGGTCGGCGCTGTGCCCGCCCGCAGGGGTCGCGGCGCTGGCGGCGGTCCGCCCCCGCCTATCTGTCACCGCCGGCCGGCCCCTCCCCAGCGCTGCCCCGCCGCCTGGCCCGTTCACGTCGAGTGTAGATAGTGGACCAAGGCCGACTGGTGGTCGGCAGGCTCGAGGTGCCGCTGCTGATAAGGATCGGGGCACAGCTGCTTTTGTCCGGTGCTGGCTTTCCGGCAACATTTCCGATTCTGATTTCGGCTCTGGTCTGGGTGACGGGCGGGCGGCGACCGCGGCGACCGCGGCGCGGGTGCGGCATACTGGGCGACGCTGGGCGCCGGATGAAAATCGTGGCGCGTGTTAAGCGCGTGCTGTGTATAACCGCAAACGCTCTAAAGCGGCTTAAACGCAAGCCGTTGCGCTTTGGCGGGGTCTGCAAAGTCGGGGGAGGGCTCTTTTTCGGACATTGTGACGTCATAGCGGAATGTTTCAGATTAGCTACGATATACATACTCTCCATTTAATTCGTATACATCCAACGGACGCCAGCGCGGCAGTAGCCTGGGACGCATCTGTTTGGTCGCCGGCCTATAGCGGCGTCACAAAAGGCTTGGTTCCCGGTCCGGGCCTCTACATTTATCAACGACATCACCAAAAACGCAGTGTCAAAAGTATTTTATACGTAGACGACCCGAGGAGCTTTGTAGCCGTGGAACAGACGTATGTCTGAGCAATGGTGCAAACCTATCTGGGTCGACTTTGCCCTCCGCCCGACGCCTGGCGTAATGCGCTCAGCCCAGCGCGGTGGCTGCGTGTCTGAAGAGGCAACTAGCACAAGTGCGCTCGGGTCTTGTCGGAACCCAGGTCTCTTGTCACGCGCGCACATGCGCGGCTGGCGTGGGGGTTATGACGGACAGTTGATTGAACCTATCGGACCGCATCGGCTCTGTAGTTAAACGCGGCTACCGTGTCCTATTGTTATCATTTCAGAATCTGCCACTTGTACGGGGTATCTACAGTGCAACGGCCGTAGTTCAGCCCGGTGCCCTCATGGGGGCTCCATTTTTCAATTCGGCTGCGCGGTCGTAGGCGTGAGCCACGGAGTAAAGTAGAGGAGGTTGGAACACACCCAGCTCAACTCGCACAAGTTTGAGCTTTTCCAGCTGGAACTCCACAGGAACATTACATGCCACATCACGACCACCGGCGTATCTCACGCCCGCAGAGTGCTGCAGTGCCGTACAGAGTGTCGTACAGTGCCGCATCTGACGCTCTTGCACGGAATTTGGGGAGAGAGAATGGGAAGTGCGCTCCTTGTGAGCGACTTTCCACTGCGCCTTTCTGTCTGCACGGCTGGTAACGTGCGCGTTTTGTTCGTGTGACAGTGCAGAATCACTGAAATAATGGTGTCGTTTTCGCAGACATCGCGCTCTTAACACTTCTTTTTGCTTGCGTTTCGGTGCGTACGTCCTGTCTTTTTTTGCGTGCGAGGGGGCCGAAGCAAAAGCTGAAGCTGATGCTTGATCGTACTCGTAGTCGCAGCAGAACACACGCCATCTTTCTTCTGAAAAACGATCAGAATCGGGGGAATTATAATTTTCGTGGGCTCTAATCTTTTGCGATAGGTGCTGTGTTCATGATAATGTATCTTTCGCCATATGGACTGTGTTGATAAAGACTCCTTCGCTATAGGGGCTGCGTTGATGCATGATTTAACGCCACGAGGCTGCCCTTATTGACCTCGCGCTTGTGGAGCGAACTTGCTGGTCCGGCTCGGTGGTTGCAAGAACTCCGCAGCAGGCTAATCTCACGCACTTTTTAGCGGCAAACTTTTCTCCATGTAGAGTCGAAAGATCGCATTAAGTTTTACGGCAACAAGCTGTGATTGGACGAGTATCTAAGCTGTACCGGTTGCGAAAAGCTGGCCCGGACACGTCGTGTTCAGTAAAGAATAAATTCCAGTGAGATCGAATCGCAGCGTTGACGTTGGCTGATCGCGCTACTCCCGTCCACAGCCGCCAAGGCCGAAATGGTCAAGTCCAAGCTGCCCAACACCGTGCTGGGCAAGGTGTGGAAGCTAGCTGACCACGACAAGGACGGCATGCTGGACGTGGAGGAGTTCGCGCTGGCCATGCACCTGATTAACATCAAGCTGGACGGTCACGACCTGCCCGCGGAGCTGCCGTCTCACCTGGTGCCGCCGAGTCAGCGCGGATTCTGAGCCGCAGGTGGCGCCGCCCCGCGGTCGCTCAGTGGCGTCATCCTGCGGCAGTGTGATAAACTCGCCGTCGGCGTAACAGGAAATTGTGACGGGCGGGGCGCTGTGAGCGCGGCGCCTGGGCGCGCCGCTCGCGCAGGTCGGACGGTGGGTCTTTGACGCTGCACCGATACTCGGTTGGTACTCTGGGTCTCCCACCAGCACGGGCGCTATTTTTGTACATGCTCGCCTCGTGCACACATCGATATCCGCATATTGATATATCCCAACTTTCTACGCAAACTAACCAGCGCTGCCGAGCATCTGCCGCGATCGTCTGCCTAACGTCGTCTCGATCGATCGAGTTTATCGTCTGTCCGAAGTACGCTGCGACTATGCCGCTGACTGCGCCGTCTCTCCGACGCTCTCTCGCGCGCTCTGTGGGTGCCTTGCCGCGTGCCATTTCGCGGCCCGCCAGCTGGCCGCCCTGCGCGCCGGCTTCCCCGGGCGCCCCGCGCCGCTCGACCCCGTAGTAGGTGGCGTGCTGTTCGGAAGTGTTTTTGTTACGAGCCTTGGCTGCGTTTCTGCTGCGGCAACTGTATGTGACACAGCGCACCGCAGGTACGGCGATAGGCCGCGTCGTGCGTGAAGTCGCACGTGTTCACGAAATTATCCGTTATTATGATGTGAGTATCCCCTGTATCTGCGGAGATCGCTTATTGTTACACGATGCCACTGCGGCGTACAGCGGTTTCGACCCGGGTGTATTCCATAGTGTTAGTTTATTTATTTATCCGTGGAGCGTCACATTGGGATATACCAGACCTTATTTGGACTGTTAGCATGGGCACTCTCAGTGGGCAGGTCGCGACGTAGGCTTAGTCATGCAAATCGGTGGCGAGTATGAATACACCAAAACCACATGCGAGCACGCTGTTTTGGCGGCGGTGGGACCCGCCAGTGCACGCGGGCGGGGTCTCGAGCGGGCGAGTGGGAGCTGCGGACCGCGGCGTGTGGCAGGCCATGAGGCAGCCCCATAACGGGATTCCCGGCGAAGGAGCTCTGATTGTGCCCGTGTGCAGGCTGCGCGTGTTTTGAAATCGGTAAAATCTGTGAAATTGGTATTAAAAGCCGCTGCGCGTGTTTTGAAATCGGTAAAATCTGTGAAACTGGCGTTAGAAGCAGCTGCGCGTGTTTTGAAATCGGTAAAATCTGTGAAACTGGTATTAAAAGCAGCTGCGCGTGTTTTGAAATCGGTAAAATCTGTGAAACTGGCATTAAAAGCAGCTGCACGTGTTTTGAAATCGGTAAAATCTGTGAAACTGGTATTAAAAGCAGCTGCGCGTGTTTTGAAATCGGTGCGGATCGGCGCACTGCTGCTATCGGTAAGTGCGCCCGTCGGCGAGGGCCGGTCGCCCGAGACAGCAATCGCCCAACACCAACCGCGATCCTCGCATTGCAATGTTCGCGAGGGATTCGAGTGTTGTGACTACTCGCTGTTGTACCTGGCAGGTACAGAATAATTGGTCGTGAGAAAATGACAAGATGAGACGCCGTGAGAAGCAGGCTCAGCGTATGCGCCCGCCGCTGTTACCGCTCTCGGCTACGTTCTTCGACTGGAAAAAACACGCCCTTCATGGAGGGGGGTGCGAGAGACCAATGACAATTTGACGCAGCAGGACAAAGGCCTTACGAAATATTCAGCGGAATTAAAACGAATGTCCGTTGGTGGGATAAAGCCTGGGATAAAGCATGCCTTATCAATCGGGATTCATTACTGGAATTTTAACCGTATAGCTCTAGAACAATCACTAGTAAAGGAAGCAGTACACCGATTTCGACACCGGCCATCCTGTGCTCTAAAAATTATACCCACGTGCGCAATGCCTTGCACCGCGCACTACTGCGCATCAGTTATACGCCAGGCTTACAAAGGGGACCAAGCGTGAGCGATCGTATTGGAAATTGAACCCGGAAATGCATCTCGCACCGGTAGCTGGATTGGCTACGGGCGGGATCGTGAAACTTTGGTCCACCCCTCGCACGAACAGCCGTACTTCTCCCTTCCTCTGGGCCGCGCTGAAATATGGTCTCTACCTGTCCGCTCGCTGTTCGTTTTACGACACTTCAGCGACATTTGACCACAAACAGTGAGCTGACACAAACCCCGGTACATCACACCACGCCGTTAGAAGTGCACCACGTCGTTCCAGCCCACGTGGCGTTCCGCGCGGAGAAGCCACGGGGCGAGGAGAGCCACGTGGGTTAGCCCCTAGGCGTGTCCTCAAGCCCGACGCAGGTGTGGCGTGCTGCCGCGTACTGCCGCCTCGCGACCTGCTCCCAGGCAGTACCGTCCTGACGTCACTCCACAGACTGAGCCCCCACATGCAAAGTAACAGCGAAATCCGAACTAAACTCGCCGCACGCGCGCCTGACGGCGCGGCAGCACGCTTCGCGGCGGCGCCGGGTTCTGAGAGCGGCCGCACGTGTCCGGCGGTAGTCAGGAGCAGTTGGCGAACCGCTCGCGGCAGTCCGAGCGACGGTGTGCGCCCCAGCAACCCGGGATCCATATTGCGCCACCGCCTCTGCGAGCGTTCTGCGAATCCGGTTCGAGCAGTCCCCGGCGTCCGAGCGGCCATCGCCCCGACAACAAGCCTTGCGCAATCAGCCGACCGATCCGGGCAAAAACCAGCGACGGCGATGAGACCATACGTGGAGCACCGGCCCACCCGCCGCCTGCCAGCAATAACGATGCGGACATCAGCCCGCACGAAACAATCATACAAAAGGCTGTATTGACGGGTCGTCGTCAGTGAGGTCGATATTGCGATGACGGCGGCGGCGGCGGTGACGGCGGGGAGACTGCTCCGGCGTCGCGGGAGCAGGCGGCACACCGGAGCCAGTCTCGGCGGCGGCCGGCCGCTCAGATGACAGTGACGCGCCACACCAGCAGCTGCCGGATCGCCGCCGGCCACCAGGTACGGCAGCACACTGTGCCAGCTGATGCCGCCCACCGCCTGCAACAGCCGACAGCGGCTGGAGACGGCGCCCAGCTCCCACCGGCCGAGGCGGCCCAGCCGCGGCCGCCGGGCCGGTCAGAGTCCAGACCGAGTCGCAGTCCAGACCGAGTCAGAGTCCAGACCGAACCAGAGTCTAGACCGAACCAGAGTCCACATCGAGTCCAAGTTCAGATCGAGTCAGAGTCCAGAACGTGCCAGAGTCCAGAAAGAGGAGAGAGCCGTCAGATGACGGCAGTGAGCGGCACCAGTAGGGCACGACAGCCTGTTGATAATACGGCAGCACAACAGCCTCTTACCACGGGCGGAACTGAACCTCGGACCATCACAGCTCGGCATAACAGCCTTCGCCATTAGAAAAGAAGGGGGGGGGGGGAGCACCTAGCCGAGGGACAGCACAACAGAATCTCACCATTGGGAGGGCACTTTCAGGCCGATAGGATCTCACCAAATGCTCACCATGAGATCAGCGGTCAGAGGAGCAGCCTGCTTGACATCCAGCTGTGTCACCTTGACCTGATTCAGGCCACAGGTGGCCACGTGCTGTTTTGCGGTCCGAGAGAACTTCACCCTCTGCCCTCCCCCGCTGTGAACGTCGTGCTCCGTCTCGCGCGTGCTGTGGGCAGCCGAGGTCACGGCGAGGTCACACGTCCGTCGACGCGCGCAGCGGAGTCGCCGCTCGGGCCGAAACAGCAGCCGCCACACTCGGAATGCAGCATTGAAGTCACCGGGTGTGCATGTCAGAACACGGGCGCCATATGTTTCGACACCACAAGCATTGCGCCCGGCTTGCCGGCGGCTAACTCGTGAGCAATATCGGAGCAGCCAGTCCAACACCAGCACTCAGCCTCGCTCTAGCAAGGAACAATCCAGAAATCTCCGTATAAATGTGTCAAAAGCCGCCTGTCCTGCCTGCCTACCAAACATGCGCCACTGTTGACCCCGACCATGCACTTCGCCTTTCAGTTAGCTCGGGAACGGCTCACTACAGAGACGACACGGCATCGACCAAGCGCCGAGCCCAATTCTGCACCTGTATGCTGCATTTTCTTCAATGCCCACTCTGTAAACCGGCGTCCCGAAATGCATCCAGTTGGGTGTGCAGATGCAAACATAAATTCATGCTACCAGAACCCTGGCTCCTGGCCGGCCTCCTCACGCACAAATCGTCGGCTGCTAAATCGCTGCCCTTTGACCCCGAGCCCCGACACCTGACAAGTCGGCCGAGGTGCCGAGTCGGCGGCGCCCAGATGCTGGGCTGACCGCCGTCCGGCTCGGCGCTGGTTGGTCGGTCTTGAGCGAGGGGAGGAGCAACAGGTAGTGAGGCCAAGAAGAGGGTGCGATGGCATGAAAAAATATCGACATCCCTGCCACCCAAGTCCCCGAGTATCGAAACGCTGCCTGGCGGGCTGGTATTGTCTGTTGACCTGACGTACCCAGAACCGTCCGCCCACCTGAGATGACACGAGCCCGGGAGTGTACTGACCTGACGTGACCCCGGGAAGTGCCCTGACCTGACGTGACCCGGGACAGTGTGCTGACCCGACGTGACACGGGACAGCGTGGTAACCTGGCGTGACCCAGGACAGTGCGCCGACCTGACGACCCGGGACAGCATGCTAATCTGGCGTGACCCGAATCAGTGTGCTGACTTGACGTGACCCGGGACGCTGTGCTGACCTGACGGGACACGGGACAGCGTGGTAAACTGACGTGACGCGAAACAGTGTGCTGACCTGACGTGACCCGGGAGTGTACTGACCTGACGTGACACGGAAGTGTGCTGACCTGACGTGACCCGGAGCAGTGTGCTGACATGACGTGACCCTGGGAAGTGCGCTGACCTGACGTGACCTGGGTTCGTGTGCCGATCTGACGTGGCCCGGGACAGTGTGCTGACCTGTGCCGGGACAAGTCGAGTGTGATCAGCTTGCTATCATGAACGGTTGCCACCCGCAGCACGTCCGCCGACGACCAGTCGGCGCCGGCCAGGCCCGGCAGGCCCGTGTGCAGGGCGGAGACGGTGGCGCGCGTCTCTGTGTTGTAGAAGGTGACGACGCCCGAGGTGGCGGCCACCAGCAGCTGGTACGGCTCCTCCTGGTGCCAGCAGACGCCCACGCCTGGAGCATGACACGGGAGGTCAGCAGCGGCACCGGCCGCCATCCGGAGTAGCGGGGCCCGCGTGGGTGCTCCCACACTGGCCGGTCGCACATGGCGGAATCTGAAGTAGCCACCCCCGCCCATATTGCGCGGCGAGGCTGATATGCTGAGGGCTATGTTTGTGTTAAACCGCGACACACGTGCCCGACCCACTCGACAGGATGGACTCCTACGCCTCCCTAGTCCGAGAACCAAGGCCGGTGGGAAACGTTCTGAGTACCACGCGACAGCATTGTATAATGCACTGCCAGCCGACGTCGGACAACTAACACTGCAACGTTTCGTACGCGCGGCGAGAGCGCACCTGTGCGAGTGCTGATGTTGTTGGAAGCCGGTGAACGGGTGTCTGTGTGCTATGTGTTTCTTTTTTACCTGCATGCTCTTATCTCCTGTACTCATAACAAGGGGCTGACAAGCGTCGCTCCATTGCGTGCGACCCAGCTATGGACGTAATACATAATGCATACATACATACATACACACATCAACACCTGGCGTCAGCATCCACGCGTCTCGGCCGGCGGTCCACCACCCACGGCGGCCTGGTGGCGCACCGGGTCCGGCGCACTCACAGGGGTCGTCGGCGGCGATGCAGGCCAGCGGCGTGAGGTCGGAGGCGTTCCACAGGCGGCATGTGAGGTCGTCGCCGACGCTGGCCAGTGTGTGGCCGTCCGGCCCGAATGCCAAGTCGTTGATGTAGTCGGTATGGCCGCAAAGAAGGCGCACCTGGCGCGGGCAGGGCAGGGGCGGCGGCGTCAGGCAGTGCTGCAGGACCGAGCACAGGGGCACGCGGACAGGGGGGTGGGGGCGTCCGCACGCGCCGCCCGGCGCCCCTGACCAGACGGCTGGGTGTCTGTCAGACAGCTCGGCTCGTCCGCGGAGGCGTGGTGTCGAGAGTGAGGCTGACCCGGGTCTGGGTCGCATCGGGGAGCGTGCCCGCTCCGACCACGACCGCGGCGCGTGGCCGCTGGGCCGGCGCGCGCCCGCGGCGGAGCCAGTCCGCCGCCCTCACCGCGCACCTGCAGCTGGCCGCCATCCTGCCGGCCCGTGTGCTCGAACACGCGGATCCGGTGGTCGGCGCCGGCGGCGGCGAACTTGACGCGCTGCGGCACCTCGGCCAGGTTCGTCTCAGCGCTCCAGGCCAGGCAGCGGACGCGCGAGTCGTGGTGGAACTCGTGCAGCAGCGCGTGTTCCAGTTCGCCGGTGTCGCTGTCCTCCTGGAGAGGGTTCGGGGGGGGGGGGGAGGGGGGCCGCCACACAGGGTCAGAAACTGATAGCAGCCCATCCAGCAGGTGGACAGCTGGTCAGCCGTGGCCGCTAGTGTGGCAACGTTTCAAAATCGATATGGGGGGCCAACATGCATAGACAATACAGATCTGTATACAATTACCCAAGAGTCCTTAAATAATTATCATGATAAAGTGATTGAAAAGAGCATGAAGTTTTGCTTCACGTCAAAACAGATTATCACAGCATTCACACTTAATGGCAGAGAAAAAACAGACATACTCTACACCTGGCTAATGCAAACACTGAATCAAGCAAACTGTGAAAGATCACGCATGGCAGGCAAGGTGGTGAGCCTGCCTGGTCCGGGCGAGGGACGGGGCGATGCGCGCTTCCCTTCCCTCCCTTGTCCTCTGACCGGCAACGTGATCCTGATGACGCCGACCGATGTGGCGGTGCCATAGACGACCAGGTCGCTGGACCAGGCAAAGCCGGAGACCTCAACGGCATACACCCGGCCCTGCACGGTGATAGTGAAGGCCTGGGCGGCGGTGGTAGCCGGCGGTCCCTTCATTGCCTCCACTGCTGGCAAAAGGATGCCCATGTTGTGGCTGGTCTGGTGCCAAGGCCCGCTGTGGTCTCAGGACAAAATGTGTAAGTATCATCTTGGAAAGAATGCCACAGCAAGGGTGATTGATGTGGCACAAACATCAGATTCCCAACATGAAGGAATACCTGGTGTTTGATTGAGCCTTGAGGTATTACAATGACTACCATTCATTCTTAAAACATTTTTATTCACCAATAAAAATGGCAAATGTCAACCACTATGATACCCAGCACAGGATGGCAGGTATGCATAATAACTGGTCGGAATAATTATGGTAATACTTCAAGCTGACAACTGTGATATTAGCATATCATGAGTTGACTGTAATAACACATTCTAAGCCAGGCATAAAAAGCCAAATGCTATGTAACATATCACATTCGTGTAGCATTTCATTCTCCAGAGGCCTGTAAAAGTTTTAAATACTTTCATACCCACGGTAAATGCATCTACCCTAGTTCAATGTCACTAAGGTATTTCCTGACCTGTATAAGGTTCTAGATCAAATGAAAGGAAGATTAAAAGAAAGGATTAAACAAAATAGCAAACATATACATAATAGGCCTGAACTGCACACAACTGTCAATCAAAGCAGCCTTATATAGACTGACTTTCTTTTACTTTGATACCTGCAACTGCATCTGGAAGCCTGAACCACACCAGGTCAATGGAGTACAAACAGTTCAGTTAAGCATTTCATGTCTTCTGAAGTCTGAACATGTATGGTAAGCAGAGTAGCATTAATGCTTGCTAGCAGTGCTTCACAGTTAAGATGCCCATACACCCATAAGAAATCCCAGTTCATACAATCTGTATGATGTGACATCAGATATAGAGATCAAGGTTTTACCTAAAACTCACGCAATGACCTCAAGTAAATTCCACATACATATCAAATCTTGCATTCCTGAGCCCCAACGCACCATCTTAAGAGTGAGAATGGTGCTAGAAAATACTCATGCTAAACAAACATTGTAGAAATAAGATATTGCCCATCAAAATCTGTTTGATATCACATGTGACTTGGGATGTGTTGAGCCACTTCGTGAGAAATTCTTCTTTTATTCTTTAGTCAAAGTTCTTTTTTGATGGCTGCAGTTTAGGCACATGTCGATGAAAGGGCCAAATTAATCATAAAATAATTTATGAAGCAGTCATTTATCATAAAAGGGACGACAGCTAACAGCAATCGACAACAAACTTAATAGCGGAAAGTATGGAAGGTAGTAGTGTCGGCTGGGGAACAATGGTAACCACTGGTGTTAAAATGAACTGCAAACCGCAACACATTATTTAAGTGGAGCGTGTCGATAAAGGTGCCGTGACGCTGCTAACAAATTATCCAACAGGAAAATTAACCAAACATACGTATGTACTTATCCACGGAACCCCAAATGCGGCCGTCAGCCGGGTTTCAAATGCTCGTTTGGCTGCGCAACAAATGAAGCGGCTGCGTATGTATAGTTGGGAGACAAGTGCTACCAAATTATATCGAAGGGAAGGTGCACGCGTGTGAAACCTGAAGTACGGGGTCCGATTCCCCGTGGTTTCCACACTTCCTGGCAGAGCGAGAGGCAGATGACACCACATAGCCTAAGCAGCTAAGTGCGTTGCAAAGCCCCAATCACCCAACCATTTCGAACTAGGACTAAGGTAGGAACCACCGAGTGCAATAATGGTGGTGAGTTGGGTTTTTGGGGTGCGCCGACTGCACTGCCCATGTGGAACTCACAACTTAAGTCGCATTCAACAGCGAAATGATGACAGTGGACAGACAAGGTCATTTGATATATATATATATATATATATATATATATATATATATATATATATATATATATATATATATGGCGGGAATCCGACGTCTGTAAGAAAATTGAACAAGTGACCGTCTCTGCCGCACCCGACTAATCGCGGGGGTGCCAGAGTATCCGGTGCACGGCTTCTGGCCCAAAATGACCCGCGCGCTCCAAGGTGATGCGGCACATTCTATCCAGACGCGTCGCGTGTGTCACGGCCCCCACAGCAGCGGCATCGTGGCCATTCCTCCCCACTGAGTGAGTATCGGTGGCTAGAGTGCACATGCCATACTCTGAGCGGCACATCACCTCCTTAAGGCAAGATGTGAGTCGAGACGGTCAGAGCTCTGGCCACCTGGACAGCCACGGAAGGCGGGCTGAGCGTGGTCTCATTATAATCCTTCGGTATGAGGTAAATGCAACGACAGGCTAAGCAGCATGGGGATCCAGGGACGTGATTCGTTGATCGCCGTGTCATTATCACGTACAATCGACAACAACTGTGTGTTCCAGAGTCTGGTTGAGATCTGGCACAAGATATCGCGCCACATGAGTACAGCATCAGAAGATACAGCGTAGAAAGAGATCAAGTGATCGCGACAAGCTGGTGGGTTCGGTTTACACCTACACCATAACCTTTACCAAGGACGCAACCAGGCCTTGATCGTTACTGGAGTCCATTTCTGGGAGTCCATTTCTGTTTCCGTAAAATCTTGCATAAGTGCAGGAGCGTCTCAGAAAGTGGGGGTTACGATGCCATTTTCACGCATTTTCATCCTTTCCATGCGTCACCATAGGGTCAATGTCTAGCATTCTCGGGAAGTGCTGGTGCCATGATGCCAGCGGAACCACCCGCTTTTACGTTTATGTCACTTTCTATGGACAAAACACAGAAAATAGCAAATATATTTTTTAATTTCATGGGGCCTGGATCACACTGACTGCAGCGCCGATTTTCTCCTGGACTTGGCATATACAAACAAGTGGTGCCCCATTAAAATGCGACTGCAACGCTGGCTCTTGGCCTCTGTCCTTGTCGCAACATTTCACGGCGGCTGGCGACGTACGCAGAGCCTATTTTGACATGCTAATGGGGAGGATAACCTTCATGGTGACAGCTAAATCCCTTCCCCCGCAGGGGAAACCTTTATTTGTCGGCAGCTCACACCCGACTGGGTCTTATTGGAGTCGGAGTGAGAGGGTATGGTCACTGGCTGCATTTTTCTGCATCGGCCCAAAGTGTTAAGCACGCATGCAAGCAAGTAGGGAAGCTGTTTTTAAACAAGAAAAAAAGAAATCCAAAAAGTGTGCGAGGAGCCGATTTTGACGCGTTAGACAGGTCAGAGAGAACAGGACAGACAGAACGAGTGAGACAGAACAGGTCAGACAGAGCAGGTAAGACAAACAGAAACGTCGGCTCAACATTTCTTGCGCGCCGCAAAATAACGTGACATGTCCTCAATGTTACTGGTACGTGTCCATGTCTGTCAGCTGTAAATTTGATTGGCGTAGATGTGTCACGAAATTTGGGCGGGGCTTTGGCAATCAGGCACTGTTCATGTTTGTGCCTATTATGCTAGACTCCATTCTGATTGGCTCAGTTTGATAAACAGCTGCGACCGTAAGCAAGATGGGGCTGACCGCGTAAAAGCGCGGCGAACCCAGCTGGCGGGTAAACACACAATAAATAGTTCCGAACATAACGAACGCGACACCACGCAAGTAACATCCAATTGCATGTGGGATCTGACCTAATACGCTGGGATCTCTTCGCTCGGGGACAAATTGCTTCCGGGAGCAACGAATCCTCTAAGGGGCTTTGCAAGCGAACGTGATCTATCTCTCTGCTCTTTCCATGCAACATCATAACGCTTATATTACATTTTGTGGTCTCTGTGGTATCTAACCGCTCTGGATGCGCTCACTGCACAAGGGGTGAGACGGCCGACTACCATACGCTTATTGTTTTTGATCCAGCTCCAAGTATGCACAAAATATAGAGCTACGTCAAATCAGAACCCTACCAAACGGCATCGTATTTACGGCATCGTATTAACTCTATTTACGATGCTCATCTATGCCTTTTCGTATTCTTTTTTTGCTCCGAACATGATCGGGGTGGAGGCTAAATGTGATGACTTTTCCCTGCAAAACATATTTTGAATATTTACCATCGGTTTTGCTCCCCTCAAACGTTGAACATAGACGAAGTGAGATAGCGCACCTACAAATGCTCGTCTGTTGCGTGGTCCAGCGCTAATCCGGGCAAAAATCGACCGCTTTGCGAAAAAACACGCCATGAAATGATGCCAGAGCGGTGAACCTCAGCAAAACTTTCCTCAAATGAATAAGTGTGGACACGATTTTTGAGAGGTTGTTTTCATCTGTTGCTGAACTAGTTCAAGGATATCAACTTCCAGTTATGGGCATTCCATTCTTTTTTAAAGAAGCGTCCAGATATTCAAAATGCTGTGCTGCCTAGGACATTTGACAACCCCTGGGGCTGGCAATCAGTGCATTCAGTGTCTTTTGGCCACTGCAAGGGTTTTGCTATCTCAAAAGTGTAGACACACCTTTTCGAGTAAAAATACCATGCCACATATATCCTGCGGCAAAAGATGCAGGCTATCTGGCGCCATACTCTTGCATTTCTGATACGACTGAAAGTTTGCTTTGAAGTGCCAAATATCTTCCATAGACACAGTTTTCCAATTGGAGTGGAAGCTCTCGGGCACCCGTCTGGGAGTCGCCAAATTTTTATGTGACAACATGAATTCTTTAGTTTTTTGGTGCTATTACCATAGCATTTCAGTTACTATTACACTCCGCATGCAGCATATTGATGCGGAAACTTGTCGCTGCTGACTGAGTGAATGCGCTCATTATCCACCACTTGGCGATGCTCTTCTCGATCGTCGTCCCTCATCTCCTCGTCTTCATCTTTTCACTGTGTTTAATTCTGTTTCGGACCAATAAGTACGTGAGGTGACCGACGTCGGCCTCATGCGTTGCAGTGCCATGTGCTACGTGCAGCGACTGCTTCATGCCACTGCTGGTGTCGTCTGCGATCTCGGGATCCTGATGATTCTTGTCATTTCTTAACGTGATAAGTGGGGGCAGGGATGGGGTTGAGAGAAATGTCTCCGCACTCGGCCAAATCCCCCTCCCCTCCCGAACAGATCTCCAAACCCACTC